TATGCGTTTCTGTAATAGTTTAGTTTTTCTTTACTTAATTTTATTTTGTTTAGATTTCTTTACTTGTATGAATCGTGAAGCTAGTTCTTTTTATTTTTTATGTTTATTTTCTATATTTGATATTTGTAATATTGTTCGATTTGTTTATTGTACTTTTCGTTTAAATTTAATAATAAAAGATAAAGTCATAAGACTGTTTGCTCATAATCACCAAATATCAACTAAGGGTCATGATGTCCTTCTAACGTTCCCTATGAGGCCATTGGCATGTGCGCAGTCCTGTCTTTGAGGTCACTACTATACCTTAGGGGGGACTTCCTGTCCGGGTGGTCACTCTACGATACCACTTGGGGTCAGTAATGGCTAGATGGTCGTCCTAGATGGTAAAGCTGAGGGTGCAATGTCTTAGTGGTAGTTTGACCTTCTGTTAGGTCATAGACCAACCAAGGTGTTCGTGCACAGACAGATAGCTTGGTGATTGGGTTCGATTCCCTTCTCTGATGGGCCCTGGTTGGTGATTCCTGGTGGTTGATACCCACCATAAGGGATGATCCTGGGTAACACCTACAAGCTTACTGTTCAGGTGGTCACTACAAAGTATACCACTTGGGGATTACAACTGTACTATCGGTGGTGGGTAATCGCGGGCTGTAATGGCCTTTGAGTGAGACCTAGTACCTAATATGGTGGTATGGAAGGGGTCTAGATGTTTGAAAGTTATCTGATGAAAGTCCTCCGTGACAGTAGTAGTGGTGAGGGGTTATAATAGTAGCCATTACAGTATCATGCAACGGATTAAAGGACGAGTAGGGTGGTGTTCAGCAGATTCGAAGGCCTTCGGATCCCTGGGATAAGTCCTTGCGTTTCAGTTGTGGTGTTGAATTGTCCCTGTTAAAAAGGTGGCGGGGATGGTTACATCATGGCTTAGTGAGGATGATGCAATGAACGACCTACCTCCATAGCCTTCAATAGAGGGTGCGGAAAGTAGTGGCCACTAAACTTACAAAACACTTGTAAAATAATCACCAAATATCACGTGGTCGTTATTGTTCTGACCTCCGATAAAAGATCTACGTCTGGTGATTCCACTCCGGTCTATTTTACCTAAAGAACTATTTACTTCCATGAAAAATGTTCGAACTAACTTTGGTACTCGTTTTCTTGTCCAACTGGTTACTCCGTGTGGCTCCAGACTTCTTTCATGGAAAGATTTACGCTTTCTTAAACGTGTTTTGAACAAAGGATCTGTGTCTGCTTGGTTTAATTATTTATTTAATTTTGTTATTATTTCTAATTCTTCTTCCTTTTTTGTTTTACCGCAATTTAGAATACCTAATTCCCATACTGTAGCTTCTATCTTTTCTATAGATATTAGTCAAAATTATATGTTTAATCCACAATGGGCTATTTCTTTTAATCGCAGTACTAACTCTTTTCTTGTTGGCCGTGTGATCATTACCTATCCTGCTCCGCGAAATGAAGCTCTTATTTCACATTGGATTGCGTCATCTGTCAATGACTTATTATCCGATTTTACTGCATGCCAAGGTTGTGCCTCTGCTATTCCGCGATCCTCTACTTTCAAGACATTGCTTAAACGGTGTCCTTCTGAAAAGTGCTTTTCTTATGTGCCTTTATCAACTCTTATCCGTTACCCTACGAAGCCTCGTACTTATATACATGCGAAAACTCGTTCGGTCTCACTTTCTGCCTCGTTAGGCTATGCCAAATCTCTATTATTATTTTATCTTTTTGCTCCAGTTCGATCACTTCCTATGAACAATTATGTGTCTAGGATCTCTGATATCCAACTTCCTTCTTCAGTGTCTACATTATATATCAATGGCTCTTTCCTTCCTTTTCCCAGTCATTCGGTACCTTCGATGGCTTATGTTTGGACTGCTATCGATTCTGATGGATTCCTTCTTGAATCTCATTATAACACCATTCCTTCTCTTTTCCCCTTTGCATTGCGTTCTGAAATTTTTGCTTTATTGCATGGATTGGACTCTCTCCCTCAGAATTCCAAAATTACTGTCGCCACTGATTGTGCTCATTTAATTTCCCTATGGTCTATGTATGTGGATGCTCCTTTCATTCCTAGAATGCTTAAAGAATCCAACCACCTTTTATGGTCTTCGGCATGAGCTATTATTTCACAAAAAAATCTGGAAGTTACTTTAATCAAGGTTCCTGCTCATGCTGACGATTCTTTGAATAATCACGTTGATGATTTAGCGAAAGCTGCTTATACGGACTCGCGTCTTTCCCTTCAGTTGCCTGTACTTTTGGCTCCTTGCATTTTACAATTTAATTCTTTACCTGTGGATATGAATATCCAGAAATTCATTGGAGAAATTTTTGACGCCAAGAATCTTTTGACTCTTGCTTTACTACCAAGATTCACTTTTAATTCCTCTATTTCAGACATCGATTGGGCTTGTACCAAATTTTGTTTTAATAATAAACAATTACAAATTTTCCATCGCAATGGCCGTTCTGAATTTTATGCTTTCCGTATCAAGATTTTATTGGATATGCTTCCGATACTCACAACTCTTCAGAAACGAAAGCCTCATATCTATGATCTGAGTTGGCTCTGTCCTCAGTGCAACTCCTCTCCTGAGACTTTAGACCACTTATGGACTTGTCCTTATATTCTACCTGAATTTGGCCCTTTTAATACTTTTAAAACACTTCTGCTGGACCTTCGTACTGTTTATCTTGACAAACTTCTTTCCGCGACTCCTATGAACCCTTTACCGGACTCTTTTGTTGCAGAATTTATGGCTATTGATTGTTGGGAATGTGACCCTCCTTCAAATTCCTGTCTGCGACTTACATGTGGCCTTATACCGATGTCTCTTATAAGTTTTCTTGGAACTTATTTTTCGCCATTCAATATTTGGTCTATCCTTGATACACCTCTACACAACTTCCACTTTGACCTTTATGTTCAAATCTGGTTATGCCGTTCCATTTTTTTTCATCATTGGGAATTAGCTCAAGACATTACTAATAAAATTAAATCGTCTGCTATTGGTCCTTCTCCTATTTCTCATCCTTCCTCTCATATTTCTCCTGATTTTTCGACACCTTCCCTGGCGACAGTTTTCTTGGATTCCTGGATTTCTTGGGTTTTCTCTTATGTAATCCGTGGGGGATCTTGGATTTCGCACTCGGATTTTTGGCGCCGCTTAACAGTTCAGCCTCTACTTAGGATTTCTTTTTGGTAACGGATTGGATCTTAGGACATGCTGGATAGTTGACTCACACTGGCCTTCGGGTAAAGATGGGGTATGCGTTTCTGTAATAGTTTAGTTTTTCTTTACTTAATTTTATTTTGTTTAGATTTCTTTACTTGTATGAATCGTGAAGCTAGTTCTTTTTATTTTTTATGTTTATTTTCTATATTTGGTATTTGTAATATTGTTCGATTTGATTATTGTACTTTTCGTTTAAAAATTAAATAAAAAATAAAGTCATAAGACTGTTTGCTCATAATCACCAAATATATATGGGTTGGTCACCCTATCTTAGTGGTTAGTCACTGAGACCCTCATTAAGCCTGAGTATGGTGAGGTCGCAGGTTCGATTCAAATGACCACGGAAATAAAAAGAATTTTACTGCGGACGCTACAACCAATAGCGTGAAGGTACAGGGATTAGTGTAGTTGGACTGCATTATGGTGAATTAGTGTGTACAGTTAGGCTGCACATTTCAACTAAGAATCATGGTGTCCTTCTAACATTCCCTAAGAGGTCATTGGTATGTTCGGAGTCCTGTCTTTGAGGTCACTGCATAGTATACCTTAGAGGTGGTGTCCTGTCCTGGTGGTCACTCTACAATACCACTGGGGGTACAGTTCGCTGTGCTAGATGGTCCTATAGATGGTAACATCATGGGTGCAATGTCTTAATGGTAGTTGACCTTCTAATAGATCTTAGACCAACCGTGATGTTCCTGAACAGAACAGATAGCTTGGTGATTGGGTTCGATTCCCTTCTCTGATGGGCCCTGGTTGGTGATTCCTGGTAGTTGATACCCACCAAAAGGGATGATCCTGGGTAACACCTACAAGTTTACTGTCCAGGTGGTCACTACAAAAAGTATACCACTTGGGGATTACAACTGTACTATCGGTGGTAGGTAATCGCAGGCTGTAGTGGCCTTTGAGTGAGACCTGATACCTAATATGGTGGTATGGAAGGGGTCTAGATGTTTGAAGGTTATCTGACGAAAGTCCTCCGTGACAGTAGTAGTGGTGAGGGGTTTATAATAGTAGCCATTACAGTATAATGCAACGGATTAAAGGATGAGTAGGGTGGTGTTCAGCAGATTTGAAGGCCTTCGGGTCCCTGGGATATGTCCTTGCGTTTCAGTTGTGGTGTTGAATTGTCCCTGTTAAAGGCGGCGGGATGGTTACATCATGGCCTAGTGAAGATGATGCAATGAACGACCTACCTCCATAACCTTCAGTAGAGGGTGCGGAAAGTAGTGGCCACTAAACGTACAATACACTTGTAAAATAATCACCAAATATGGACTGTCCCAAATGTGTGACTATAAAGAGAGTTGACTGTACCGGTTATTTTTATATTAAAAAATCTGTCAAATTTACTAGTTAGTTTAGTTAGTTTAAAATTACATTAATATTTTATTTATTATAATAATATTAATGTATTATTTAATTTAAATTTACTAATATTATAAAAAAATAAAATATAAAGTATATTGTAAGTTAAATTTATATATATTTTATTACAAAAAAATTTAATAAGTATTTCTATTGATTTTTTATTAAAAAAAAATAATTAGTACAACTAATTCTTTAAAAAAAATAGCTAATTGATAAGTTATAATAAGATCCAAATTTTATTCATTAAATGGATATTCAAATGGTTCTGGTGGGGATGCTTCTTCTTCTTCAGTAACTTCAGTTGCTATAATAAAACATGATATTTAATATTTTATTTGATCAATTATATTTGATATTAATTATATTAATTGAAATTCAACTTACCAACAGGTGCACTTGGTAAAATTAATTCTTCAGGTTCATTAGGTGACCCATCTACCATCATTAAAATTCCACCAATTACACCCTAAAAATTACAAAATTACAAAATTACATTAAGTAAATGATAATTACTAATCAATATGTTTATTCTATAATAAAAATAATAACATACACTTTTTACAGGAATATAACGTGAATTTTCTTTAAATGTGATATATTGCAACTGCGTTGGCAAAACACGTGCCATGTTTTCAAGAGTTTCATATGATTCTTCTTTTTTCTTTTTTCCTTTTTTATCCTCCTAAAAAAAAAATGTAAATAAATAATAATAGAATAAAAAAAGATAACACAACCAAACCTTTTCTTCCTCTTTTTTGACATGTTCTGTAGTTTCTTTTTTTTCGTCCTATAATAATATTAATTTCATTTAGATAATACATAGGGGACAATTTAATTTATATAAATTTATAATTTATATATACCATATCCATTGCATCTGTATTTTCTGTTCCTTTTTCCTTTTCGGATTTTTTGGCTCTTGCCTTTGTTTTTGCAGTTGTAGAAAGTACAGCAGTTGCTACCTATAAAATAAAATAAATTCAAATGAAATCAATGTGCTTTAGTACATAAAAATAATAAAGAGAAACAATACCTTCTCTACAACGTTAGTTGTTGGAGGTTTAGTAGTAGCAGGATACGCAAAAAGTGATGGTTTTGCATTAGAAATAAATTCAAACTTTGGAATCTTTTACAATTAAAATAAATCAGTAAATTTGATGTCAAATAAATCTAATAAATTTTAAGCCAAAAAATACTGATTTTCACCTTCAGATCCTTATTTAAACCAATAATAGCAGTAGGAGTAAAAGCCAAACTTAAGAAATGTGTCAATGGGAACCAATACCAAAATTGTGTGAATACAGCCATTCCTACAATAGCTGGCATATTTAAATGACCTGATCTTGATTGTAATGAGATCGTTACATTACGACCACCTATTTCAAATAAAAGATAAATGCCATATTAAAAAAGATCCCACTTAAATATAGCAATATTATTATATAATTAAAATTAAGAAATACCGGCATCAATAATTCCTTGGCCAAGAACAGCTCCAAATTTTGCCATTGCATCTTCATGTTTATCATTTATGATTTTCTCATATAATTTACGAGTTGGTGATACCTTTTAGATATTATATGTTAATAAACTTGTCAATAATAATAGAATATGTTCATATAATTCAAACCTTAGGATTAATAGCATCATTTTGTTGTATTAGAATCATAGCTAAAGAAATGAAAGCGCCCTGTCGAACATAATCAACAGGATCTTTTGTCATTGGCTCCAAAAGTTCAATGGCTTCCTAATTAAATAGAAATTAAAAACAATGATAAATATGTGAAATATTGAAAAAGTTTCAAATTTTTTAAGGGATAATAACACAAACCATTAAGCCAGTTCCAGCACATGAAATACCCAAAGCTAATGTGGCGCCATACCGTACATTGGGATTATAACTCTCTGATAATAATTGAACTATTCGAGGAACTTGTTTTGGTGTTCTGAATAAGATAAATCCAAGTGCTGTAACAGCAGCACGACGTACATCATCATTGACATCACTTACAGCCACGTGTAATAATCGTCGGATAGCTTTATTATTTCCAGTACCACAATAGGCCAATGCAACTGTATATATTCCACCGTACCGTAAAATTGGGTCCTAAGAAATTTTTTTTCAAATTGAATGATAAAAAAATTTTTTTTTTTTTTACAATACAATTAAAAGTTTCTACATACTTTATCCAGGGTAAGCTGTTCAACTAGAGCATCTGCAGCCTCTTCTTTACCATACATGATAAGTGAAATCCCAATTGCCAAACCTCTAATAATTTTTTCATGCTGAGTTTCATGGGCATATTGCAGCATTTCCCTGATAGCTTTTTTGGAAGCCGTTCCAAGCATAACAAGTCCCATTGTCAAACCAGCAGCTTCTCCCGCAACAGCGCTATCGCTGAAAAGAACATCCTTGAGTTCCTCATATATTTCTTATGATTTATGACATAATGGTATCAGAACTAGTTTTTTATATTTGTATATTTTAAGAAATTAATAAAGCAACCAAATACCATCATTGCCCGTTGCCATTCCTGCAGTTGCAAGCCCCAAACATGCACCATGCTGAAGGACTTCGGTTTGAGTATTTTTTAAAGCATTTCTCAAATAATCAAGTACACCAGCACCGTGATTTGCATGAATAAGTCCCAAAGCAAATAAAGAACCGCCTTCTGAATAAGAACTTCCACTCACTCCATCTTGAGGCAAATAAGGTTGTAGCAAGGAAAGACCTTGAGAAAGATGCCCCTATAATAATTATGTAAAATATTTTATAATGGCTTCCTAAGTTATTCATAATAGTCCAAAACTCACTTTGTGTATTACACCCAAAGCTGCTGTTGCACTAAATTTAGACCAATTAGTAGCACGTGAGAGCCATTCCAAATTCTGACGAAGAAATTCGTCACTTGTTGTTCCAGCATGCATAAACGCATTTGCAAATGTAACGGCCGAATGGTATACTGAGTTCCGGGACTCTAATGCATTCTATTACATAAAATTATCAATTATTTTTCAATGGTAATTTACAAGAAAAATAAATACAAAATAATGAATAAATACTTTTGTATTTTTAAGTATAAGTAAATCTGTATGATTATTTCGATATAAAAATTCCAAGTGTAATTTGATTGACTCTTCCCCTGAAAGTATACGTTGAATTTTCGCATATTTTTCATCAGTCGGACTCGTGGACTAATAAATAAGACTTAAATTTAGTATGCAATATATATTGATAAAGTATAGGTCACTGTAACATAATTACATATTCCTGGTCATCAGTCTCCATCGCTTCACTATCCGATTTTTCATGAGTACTAGTTATTGTACTAGTTACTGGTAACTCCGAACCAACCTTTTGGAGAAATTCTTGGGTAGCGTTATCTTCGAGGTCGAAAGCAATCTGATATGCCATTAACAAATAAAACTATACAATATAACAAAAATGTTAAGTAAGTTGAATTAACTATTATATTAAATAAATTTAATGATATCATACCTCATCTCCTTTTGAAACGAGATCTTTTAACAATCTAGCTGCTTCAATAGGTTTATTTAAGTGAACATAACATTGGCTGATAGAAACATAATCGGGCTCCGCGAGATTTTGATATAATTTTGCCAGCAGAAGTAAAACCTTAACCAAAAAATTTTTTGCTTATAGTTAACAATTATGAAATGGAAATCTGAGAGATTTTACTATTAATAAACGATACCTCATTTCTAAAATCTAAATTTAATACTAATGTCATGCTAACTTCTAATACGTAAGCCAAGAGATCCGAAGCCTGACCTTTAGATATTGCTTGTTCAATAATATCCAAACGACGAGCTTCCAGAGCAATTCCAATTGCCTATAATAGATTATAACACGGATCAAAAAAGTTAAAACTAAGGCGAAATAATTAAAATAATTAGTAAAAAAACATTTTAAAATAAATACTTGTTTAAATTCACCGTCGTCATAACACCTCTGAAACATACGCTCAACTACGTCTTGTAAGCGCGGATCAATTTGAATATTACTAGCAGGATCATCTTCATATTGTTTTACACGCAAGGAAATATATTTATCTATACATTTTGCTAAAGTAAATAAATTTAATTAATTTTTTTTATTGCAATTTATTTCATAAAATGTCAAGAATCTAAAAATATTAGAATTACATATAATGGTTTCAACGTATTCTGATTTAGACGACGCGTCAAACATGTCCTCTGCTCCCAATGCAAATGTCAATGAATCATCAAACTCCCCAAGGTGATAATAAACCTATTAGCGAACAATAATATATAATTTTATTAATTTTGATAATTTTGAGTTTTATATTTTAAATAAATTAACACGAAAACTTCACCATAATTCACTGACCTTAGATGCCACAAGAGCAGATAATTTTCTTTGAGGGAAAAATTCATCTTCGTAAAGAATTTCACTATTTAAAAGAGTAATTAAATTTTTCTCTTGTAAATAAATATACGAGCCTCAAATCAAAATAAACTGATCAGCTAACAATAATAAACAGTAGAAAGGTACAATATCACGTGAAGCATTCAAAGTTTGAAACCTTAAACAATATTCATTTCAGTTGATACATACATTTTAGAGACTGCGTCCGAAATTTCGGCCCAGAATTGATCAACAAGTGTATTTAACTTCTCAAGCGCATATATTTTAAGTTCTTCTTCCGACTCGTCAAGCAAAGCAATTATTCCACCTTTTATTTGGGACCGAATAATTAATAAGAGTAAAATAATGTTACAAAATTGAAAACACGTTATACCTGCAGAAGTTAAACCAACCATCACGATCAAGACAACTTGCGAAAATATTATAAATGGAGTCTATTCAAATATCAGAACAAAAAAAAAAAAAAATTGAACGTTACACAACGTTTGTATGTACACGTAACGAAAACGCGTAATCAATCTAAGATAAACAGTGTAACTAGTGATTTAAATGACAAATTTTTGCCCAGCATTATAATTCTGGCCTACATTATTATTATGATGTCAACCAATCAAAATAAACGACTGAAGAAGTGAGAGTTAATTCTATTAATTTGTTAAAGTCATATGATTCCGGTAATGGGGTGATAAAGGATGTAGATTCTGGGTTCAAATAGAGTACCATCAAATTAGGTCATAGTAAAAAAAAGTATACAATTTTTAAGTAAAATTTAAGGTTATATGTAAATTTACTAGTAAAAGCATATATTTTTAGGACTTTAAATATTACAATATAAAAGTACATTGTTTTTTTGGAAAAATTCATATTTTTTATCACAATGTAGTAAATTTATTTATCCATTAAAATTTAAAACATGTATACAAGTCATATGTGTTTAATTTTTTTTTTTTCTTCTAGTATCTCTACTGAAGACCAATAGTCCAGTACTAACACTATATATATATATTGTAGAAAAAAAGAAAAGATCTATAATTTTTTTTAATTTAGTTATAGATAAATTACTGCTACAAAGTCAATTGATAAAATAATTTTTTTTTGACTTATTTGCTATAGTATCAAGTCACGTGATAAAACGTTATAATTTTATAATGAAGAATCTGAAGACTTTAATTGGTTGGTGAGAGTATTTTGGCGAATTCTATTGGCTTTACATCACGTGATTAGTTATATCAAAATTCGCAAATTATGCAAGCCACGTGAGTTAAAAATCTTTTTTTTTCGTCCTGAAATTTAATTGGCTTATCAAACACCGCTATAAAAACTCGATCCTTTGAAAATTTTGATCCTCCTCTTTCTCATATCTATTCACCTTTAAAAATAAAAGGTACGTAACGCGAAAGAACGTAAAAGCTTTTCATTTATAATTTTAATTTTATAATGACAAACATTATATCTTTGGAATAGATGGCTGGCGGCGCAACTGTAAAAGATGTCAATCCCCATGACTTTGTTAAAGCCTACGCTGCATATTTAAAGCGTGCAGGTAAATTAGAAGTGCCAAAATGGGTTGACATTGTAAAAACTGGTCCATATAAAGAATTGGCTCCATATGATCCGGATTGGTTTTATATTAGGGCCGGTATGTATCTTTTATCAAATAGTGATATTGTTTTAATTTTAATTGATCTGGTTCGATCTAAATTTTGGTGAATTCCAATGGCGATTTTAGCTGCTGTTGCACGGCACATTTATCTTCGTAATGGGGTTGGAATTGGTGCGTTAAAAAAACTTCATGGAGGTCGTAAAAGAAGAGGAACTCGTCCTTCTCACCATGCCAAATCATCAGGATCTGTTGCTCGTAAAGTCCTCCAAGCTTTAGAAAAAATCAATGTCTTAGAGAAAGATCCTAAAGGGTAGATATTATTTGATAATTTCAATTATTTATTTAGGAATAAAAAAAAACTAAATCTTTGAATAATTTTAGTGGACGTAGGATCACTCAAAATGGGCAACAAGATCTTGATCGTATCGCTCAAGCATGTCTTTCGGTGACGACGGGAGAATCATAAAAAAATATTTTAATTATTCTAATTTATATGTAGATCAAAAACTTTTATTTCAATATGAGCGAGTCAAAAAGCATAAGAATTAATGACTTTACATTTTGTTGTTTCAAGCGGCGAGTTAGATGACAATTATCATGAAATAAATACAATTTTCAACCAAAATTGAATTTAATCTTCGCATTCTAGCTTTATAACACTATTATTGCAAATTCCAAAAATTATTTAAAAAGCTAAAAAAAACCCATAAAGGTATCTGACGCTAATTTCCTAAAATATTTTTGTCATAAAAAATCCTGGCTTGCTCGACTGTCGGACTAGTATTACAGTTTGACAAAAAATCATGGCTCGGCTTGTTTATATTTCCTCGTCAATTCGTCGAATTGCTAATAATTATATACATTTTTATAGGTCACAATTAACGCAATTTCAACATTGTGGAATGAAAAAGAGAAAGTTCTAGACAGAGATACTGCGCTATTACAAGTCACGTGAATGAGATGCAAATAAAGACACGTGTGGTTTGCGCTTCGCATCATTCCTACCATTTCGTTGACTACTCTCATATTTGATCTCATTTTATAACCTGGCGTTGTAGAAAAAGTTAATATTCCATTTCATAATGCCACCAAGAAGAGGAAGACCTCCAACTCGTAGAGAAAACTCTGCTCGTAGAAATAATGATAATAGCCAACCTTCTACTGAGTCTACTACACAAAATGACGAACAAAATGTTCGCGGCAGACCTAGGGGTAGACCTAGAGGTGGCCGTTCACGAGGACGCTTTCGAGGAGGAGTACGTTCACGAGACAATTCACAGGGTCCAATACATATAAGTTTACCTTCTCAAGGCGAAACTTCCGTTCAACCAGATAACTCATCAAGGGACGAAATCAGCTCAAATGGATCAACAAATCCTCAAGAACATAGGCGTTCTAGAGGTCGTCCACGTGGAAGGATCAATCACCCAATACACAGCTCGACGCCGCAAACAGCCACACCTGAGATATCACAACCGGAAATTAACTTATCGAGAGATGAAATTAGCTCAAATGATGACGTTACACTTCTTCAAGAAGTAATTCCACCTCATGGTATTCGCCGACCTAGAGCTCGTCCACGTGAGAGCAGGACTTCGCAGGCAAGTGATATCTCTCAATCAGATGTAAGGGACGAAGTTAGCTCAAATGATGATGTTACACTACGTCCGAGAACATCACGGAGAATTATTTCACAGGTCCATGTAAGTCAAGAAGTTATTGATCCTGATGCTAGGGAAGATGAATTGCGTGGCGATCCTTCGAACACCCGTGATGATTTACATGAAGCTGCTGTTATTACGTCTCCTGATGATTTGCGTGAAGAAGTTGTTGCTGCTATTACGAATATTACTGATGATTCACGTGAAAATGTGTCTTTAGAGAATAACGATGATGAATCTGAAGATGGGGGGGATACTGAGGCACATATAATAGAAAATGAACAAGATCGATGGAGAAAATTTGAGATTGGCATGAAATCGAATAGGAATCATGGAACCGTTACGAGTTCAGTCCCACCTAATATTAATTCTGTGGATTCTACACGTCAACAAAGACTTTCAGCTTTTCTTAAAGCTGCACCAAGGACTAAATCTTCTAAATGTTACGAGGAACTTAACAATTCATTAAAAAAAGTTGCGGAACTGTTAGATAGAAATGAAGTCAAGAGTGCTTTTAGTTGCCTCCGACAAATATCTGGATCTCATGAATTTATCGTATTTCAAAGATTTGATAAATACAAAATTTGGGATAAGCTATGTGAAAAATATGGCGCAAATGAAGAAATTATCGATGAATTTCTAATCGATGATGGAAAACCATCGTCTCTCTTTTTACTATTAATTAATGGATTGAGGGCAAAATTAGATGATATCCTAACAACTCCACATTTGGTAGACTCCAACTGTGCGAAAATTTATTTCCGAGATGTTTTAAATAAAAAAATTAAAATAAAATTCGTCTCGAATAGCGAGAGAGAACCTTATTTAAAGAAAGCATGGCCTTATCGGAGGTTTAAAAATATAAATGAAAGGTTAACTCGCAGAATAGCGAACAATGAAAGTGGAGGAAGTTTGGATTCGAATCGGTTCGATTCTGATTCTAGTACGTCGGCTGATGATCATGATGATTTTTCGGAGGGTGATGATGTTGAAGAAACGAGTGATTTAAGCTACGTGACGGAATTTTCTGAACCTGATGAGGATGAGTCGGACCAAGATGATGATGAAGAAAATATATCGGACGAAAATCCTCTTGATTCAAACAATCAAGAAGGAATTAGTAGTAATAATAATGAAGAAAATGCCACTAACCAAGATCAAGATGTTGTCAATCAAGATGTTGTCAATCAAGATGTTGTCAATCAAGATGTTGTCAATCAAGATGCTGTTAATCAAGATGCTGTTAATCAAGACGTTATTGAAAATGTCGTTAATCAAGATAACCAAGATATAATTCCTGATGGAGATCCTCTTGATCCAAGTCAATGGGAGGAAGAAACTAATAATGATGAAAGCGGTTTAGAACCAAATATCGCGTCTGATGATGATTTTTCCGATTCAAGTGGATCTGAACACTACATTTTTTGGTTTATGAAAAACGGTATCAAGAAGAAGATATCACCGGATTCAACCGTTTATACGATTATCCATAGTTATTTAACAAGGAAAGAGATATGCACATTAAAAACTGATGAAATATTCGAAAAAGAATATGTTATTTACTTCGAAAGGGCGGAGGACAATACATATGAAAATGATAGTGATTTTCCAGAAAATTTTGAATTTAATGACCAAACACGCCTTATTCTAGATGTTATGAAAAATCTATATAATACATATAACAGAAACGTTATTGATAACTATGATCCTGATATATTTCGAAGCTCTCAAATAATTCAAAAATTGAGACCGTTCGAGAAGAAATTAATAAGTCGCATTACTGGATATTATCCAAAAGTGATCGTTACGCTTTTGAACCATTATGGATTCTTATTTGATGGTTTTTGTCGTCACAAATATTTTATTAGAAACCTATTTGGACTCAGGAAAGTACCAAGGGGCTTGACTCCAAATCTAATTGACACGATTAGAAATAAAAAACTATTACCGAAAATTAAAAAAAAAGAGAATGTTCAAAAGGAAAATTTAGCTAATTGGACACGAGAAAAATTCCATAGATATGCTGATGCAAAAACAACATTTGGAATTACTTTTGCAGGAGAAATGGGAATAGGTGCGGGGGTTACTCGCGACTTTTTCACACAAATGTCCCAGTATTTTCAAATTGTCGGATCAAATATGTGGACTGATTTGGAAACCTCCCCTAACCCTGAAGATTATGTAACTAATGAATACGGCCTATATCCTACATTGTTTGATGAAAAATATGCTATTTCTGATGAAGGAACTCGCGTGCTTAAGGATTTCCAAATCCTTGGAATGCTAACTGCCAAATCGTTAGCTGACAAACAAATAATGGAAGTTCCACTAAACAAAATGTTCTTAAAGAGATTTATTTTTGGAGAACACCCATCCGTAGAGCTTTCTAACTACGATTTTACAAAAGTTGATGATCAAAGTCGCAAGGACATGAAAATTAAAAAATTGCTTGGTTTAATCAATCAAATTAATCCGACAATTACAAAAATAGCGAATCATCTTCGAGATATTCAGAATAATTTTTCTGATTGTTTGGAAAGTTTTTATATTCCGGCTGGTCGTAGTTGGCACCAAAATAATCTGGTGTCTATTGATCTTCCAGAAACAGAGACACAAAATATTTTTTATTTGTATTTAAATAAAATTAAAGAAGTTGTATTTGAAACCGGAATCCATGAACAGATAAGTAAATTTAGAGAAGGTTTCAATCATGTCTTTCCCCTTGATCATTTAAAAAATTTCTATACTGTAGAGGAAATACATAAGGTGGTCTTTCATAATAAAAAAGAGGATTGGTCAGCCGATGTCATTCGTCGTGCTTTTTTCGTTAATAATGAAAGTATTAGAATCGAAGTTGATAAGATTTCCCAAATTTTATCAAAATTTAACATTGACGAACAACGGAAGATGCTCCGCTTTTTTACTGGATCGACAAGACTTCCTATTGGGGGATGGACCAAATTAAAACCTGAACTGGCTGTAATTGAGGACCTCGGAGCCTACCCGATTGGTAGGACATGCTTTAACAAGCTATCTATTCCTCGAAATAACAGTCTTCAGGAGCTAGAGGAAAAGTTGAAATTAGTGATCAGCAATAGTGAAATAGCAGAACGAATCGACAGAGAGTAAGTTTGCATTTACATTTATCAAGGAAAAATATTTTAAGTAATATATTTGTATAATATATTTTTAAATTTGCATTCATCAAATAAACTGATTTCAAATTATTATATCTGAAAATAAAAATTGTAATAATTCAATAATAAATCAAATTATATTTTATTTTGTAATTTGTTTTAAAACATATACAAATAAATTAAAAAGTACAAAAATCTATTATTCTATTTTGAACTCAATTGTGCAATATAAGCATCTAATTCTTGTGCAATTATTTGGTCCGTACATTTACTTTGAATTTCTCTGAAATAAATAAATGAATGAACGTCATGTAAAAGAATTAGAGATTTCACTCGAAAAAAAAAATTACAAACCTCAATAACTGAATATCTTTTAATGCGAGTGCTTCCTGTCCTGCCGCTTTGAAATCGCCTATTTTAATAAATAAACCTGGTCTTACAGCAGGGTCGCATTTTGTAATGTATTTTATAGCTTCTTTATGTTGTATAGCTTTAATACATTCTTCCACAAATGGCTAAAAAAAAGATAAAAATTGATAATTTAAATAAACATTATATTTAAATAATTTCAATAGTGATTTTACCTCATATCCGATTGGAGATTTTTTCGATTTTGAAAGACGTTCTAATTCAGGCCAATCTCTCATTTCCACCAAAGCTTTTAATTTAATCCACCAAAACCTATGTTATCATTCAAAAGTTAAATATGTCACTTTTTTAATAGATAGATTTTAATAAATTTACCTTTTATCAGGAATTTTGAAATCTGACTTTAGTTTATTTGCTTTATTGGGATTATTAGTAGTGATACACTTATGTACTGTTTCATTCAAAGGTAATCCTACCAATTGTTGGTTCATTTCCTTTTCAAATTGAGCTTGAACTTGCAGTAATCTGATGTTTTCGTCAACTGCCTATAAAATGAATGAATATTTAAACTAATCAAGACAAAAATTCAATTATTTATAATTATATTAATTATACCTTTGCCTCAAAAGCATGCTCTTTATCGTCTTGGTACGATTTTAATGCTATCTTCAACTTGTTAGTTCTTTCATTCAAATCCTTTTGCAAAAAATAAGATATTACCAAATTATAAATATCACTTGGAACGATACTCTTAAATTATACATACCTTTTGCTTATAACTTTCTAAAATTGTGATATTCGCACTTTCAACGCATCTATCATCTTGATAGTAAAAATCCGCCAAAAGTTTCAAATCTTGTTGTTTACAATATACCTCAAATAAATTACAAGCCATAGGCTTGTTGTTAATTATTCGGAAAAATTCAGGAAGCGGAAGTTTCCTTTTAAGATGAAGCATTACCAAATATACTGTATAAAAGTTAATAAATAAATTGCGTAAACAAGAATAAAATTTATTCATTTATTTTTTTTAATTACCTAAATCTGTATCCCCACTTTCAATTGCCTTAATTAAAGCCAATTCATCTTCCTGCATACTCATGAGCAAAGGTACTTGATCAGCTGCACGCGGTTCATAATCAAGCAACTATAAGCAAATCATATTTAATTAGAAATATGTATATAGGGATAGGGATAAAGCATAAAAGATCAAATACTAACTCTTGTTGCTAATTTTGGCTGACCAACTTTATAAGCAGTATTGGCAATTTCTGCATAAGACAGACCTGGCTTGTTGATCAACTTTTCCACAATCATATGACAAATAGTTTCTTCATCATCAGTCGATTTTTTGATCTATAACAATAAAATTACAGTATAATAGATTGAAAGCAAATAAAAATTTCTCAATTTAAATTTATTTAAAGAAATAGTAAATTACATAAATTATTCACCTTTGCACAGGCCCAATGAATTAATACTCTGTCTGTTCTCATCTTCAAAAATTCACATATCCGTAGTGCTAATAAATGATGATGACGATTTATCAATCGATCAATTAATACATCGGGCGTGAGGCGTGTATATCTGAATGGATGAATGTAAAGTTATTTAGTTAAATACTTTTTTTAAAAAAAAAAATTGATCACTTACTGTGTGTAAGTTATCGGTATTCCAATTTCATAATATCGTACAGCATTTAATACTCTTAAAGTTTGGCACATATCCACAAAATTATCGGCGTTGTACGATTCCAAAAACGCTTTACCAAATGCTGCAGCTTTAAGTAAATTACGTTGCCAATATTGGCTGAATTCATGTCCAGCTGCTTCCGTACAAGCGTCAACTGCCTCTGCAAGTTCTGCTCGAATACTCCGTATATTTTCATCTGCTTTTGGACTTCGTCTCTGAAAGTGACCAAAGTAATATAAACACATTTGAATTCGATATCGAATTATATCTAACTTAACTTACTTCAAAATGATCTAATGCATCGAATAACATGGCTGCTGGTGCAGTCGAACCGATTTTGAAAATTTCTTCAGTAACATCTATACATAAAGTAATTATAAGTAATTATTAATCATAAAAAAATTCAATTTTTTATGTAAAATTAACTTACTTGGAACTTTTTGCAAGAATTCACATTTGTCACTACTTATGACACGCACACCATCTATTTCAGGAATAAGATAAATAGCATCATCATATGAATACTTTATATAATCGCCAAATGGACCAACCATTAACACAATCTTATCCCAGTACAATACGACAGAATCAGTACCGCACCTAAAAAAAATTTATTAATAAATTTTTTAGCTATTTACAATATGACTATAGCGATTAACAAAAATATTACCAGATTAATTGTTGAGGAGGAACTTGGGATTTAGTGGCGAATTCCGAAAGGTTCTTTTGAAAATCAGTGGAAACTACCCAAAGTTTACCGTCAGAGGTAAAAAGTGCTAAAAATTTGCCATTTGGTGACACGGCCATTTTAGTAAAAGGACCTTGTTGAAGCAACTGCATCATGAAGTAAATTATTTAATGATTAATAAGCCTGTATATTTTGGGATATAGATTTCTTTAAAAAAAAAATTTACTTGGTCTTGAGATTCTTTAGTGTCAACAGTTAGAATTGTAGAGCCGGTTGCTAATAATACCTCTACATGACGGCTAAGTGTATATTGTGGTGGAATCACCGTCCAACTATGTGGTGGTTCATTTAAACCTAATAAATTTAATTATATAAATAAATAGAATTTTTATTAAGTTAAAAAAAAAAAATTTATGAAATTCCAAAACACCTGGATCTGCCATAAGATGAGGTCTAGGTTCTTCAAAATTGGTAAGAACTATTAATTTAAAATTTCCTGTTAAAGCCACCAACCCAGTTCCCCATATCTGACAATCAATAACTGAATATTCTTTTGCTTCCTATTAAAAATATTCAATGGATAATATATAAATATATCATTCTAACGTCGTATATATTGTAATAGTGAACTCATTACTACTTACTTTAACAAGAGAAAGCTGAGTATATTCTCCATTAATATCGTATAGCCTAATTGTACCATCTTCTAAGACTACAACCAATTTTTCAGATTCAGACCAACCCATTGCTACAATTCGACCTTTATCCCACTAAAAAAGGGAACATTATTTACTAAATTTAAATAGTTAATAGACAGAAAATTAAATAAGATTACTTGTAATTGTTCCATCAATTTTCCTGCAGAAGTATAAAGATAAATAGTAGGCTTTACTGGCTGTTGTTTTTGTAACAAAATTACTTTTTTATCGTCACGGATCATTGCTTAATACAATATTAAAAAGGTAAACTTTAGTCAAAAGATTTATAGAGTTTTACAGTAAAAAAAATATAATAATAAAAATAAATTATATCTACCAATTGGTCCACCATATGGAGCTCCCGCAATCATAAATTTCGAAAGGTCCAATTGCTTCCAAAGCATCGCATAGATTTCTTGTTTCCTACAAAATAATTAATAAAAATGAAATATTAACCAGCCTACTTGATAAACACCGAAAGTCATAACAATAATTCTCACCGATAGAAACGATCTTGTAATTGATTCCAATCAGTTGTTGGGTGAGGTGCCATTTTAAGGAATGATGCTATCAATTAAAAAGTAACAGACTCTTATACAAAATGTCATAAATGATCAATCCACAGAAAAATCTTGATAAAAATTAAATTGTCACGCTACGTCACACATCATCTAACATCACAAGACTATTGAAACTATTACAGATAAAGGAAAATCTTATTTAAGAATTTTACGCGTTATATTCCGCAGTATCTTTAAGTATGAGCGCAAGGCTAGTATCTTCCCTAAATTTACGTCCAAGCACCCGAACCAAATTACAAAAAGCCGGCTTTCAAACAGTTAAAGACTTGCAAGAAACTACTCCAATAGAATTGAGTAAAGGTATCAAGAATTTGTTTTCATTCGTAATTGAACATAAATCACATAATATTGACATTAAATTATTTATAAAAGAAATCGGGATATCAAACAATGAAGCATTAAATATATTACAACAAATTAAAAAAAGTACTATCATTAACACGTATTTATTGTATTGGCAAGTTAAACTAAAGAAATTGAATTATTAAATTATAGATAAAGTTACATCAATATCTGCTTCAGAAGCACTACAACAAGAACGTAAACTATGTCCCATATCTACTTCATGTGAAGCCATGGACCAAATGCTTGGTGGGCGGGGAGTTCCCGTAGGGAAAATAACTGAATTTTGTGGTGCTCCTGGTATGGGTAAAACACAACTAGGGTAAATTATCTAATTATATGTACGATCTTGAATACAAAATATTTCATTTAAATGCTTGGTAAATTCTAGGATGCAACTATGCGTTAATGTCCAAATACCACAAAATTTATCTGGTCCGGAAGGCGAAGCGATATTTATAGGTATGCAAAGAAGATTATTAATCGTTCTATATGGTTAAATATTTTGCTCTCTTTTTTTTCCCTTAGATACGGAAGGTAGTTTTATCGCTCAGCGTGCTGCTGAAATCGCAAGAGCTACGATAAATAAACTAAACGAAAATAGTGTGACTGAATGTGGTAAGATCACGTGATAAAGTGAACTTGATATTCCGTTGCTTCTTACAAGAGTTATTTTCTTAATAGATCCACCCATGAATTTCGATATCGTTATGTCAAAAATTTACGTGTCTAAAGTTCATAATTGTGATGAGTTAATCGCACTTATAAAAGTTCTAGACGAATTTTTACAGGAACATCCACGAGTATTTATAATCTTTATATATTGTTAATTACAATAATTAAATATTAAAATTAAAAATTAAGAACGTGTTTATTTCAGGTAAAACTTCTTGTTATTGATTCGATTGCATTTCATTTTCGTCAACAATTCGATGATATGGCGCTTCGAACGCGGCTGTTAAACGGATTAGCTCAGGATTTGAATAAATTTGCTCAATCATATGAGCTCGCAGTACGTACGTTCTATTCCTTAAGAAAATGTTTTAATTAACTAATAAACATGACCATCGTCTGGTTTAGGTTGTTTTATTTAATCAAATGACTACTAAATTTATAATATCTGGAAAATATAATCTCAAAGATCAGGCTGCTTTAGTCCCCGCATTAGGTAAAAAAATGTAATCGAGATTATAGCCAAAAGAGATGCTAAAGCTTGAAATTTATTTGTAATGTTTATACAGGTGAAAGTTGGGGTCATCAATGTACAAATCGTATAGTACTTTATTGGCGCAATGAAATTCGGTAAGACTTGTTTAAAAAATTATATTTTGTATTACTATGTTTATAATTTACTTGATATGAAATAGTTGTGCACAACTTGTCAAGTCTCCGAGCTTACAAGAAACTACCGTACATTATCAAATTAATGTAAGCTAGATTTATCATTTATCATTTTAAAAAAAATTATATTATTGACTGACAAGCGAATTTGTATCAAAATAATTAGTCGACCGGTGTTCGTGATTATCAAGCAGACTCTCTTAACAGCAAAAGAAGATGGGAAGAATTATATGATATTTGATATAAATAGCAATTATAAAATATTTGTCAATATAATTAATACATACATACATGAGTTCGTTCCAAGTAAAATTTTACTTATTCTTGATTAACCAGAAAATTTACGCAGTTACTGAAAGTTTATTAGTTTAAAGTAATTTAATATATTGTTAGTATAAATTACAATACAGTAATATCTGATAAAAAATTTTTTAAATAATCATGTGATCCATCAGCCTTATTATCCTCAATTACGTCATCAAGGGGGCAAAATTCAGGACCCCATTTTTCTGTTTCATTGTAGTAGAGTTTTCTTGGGACGAATTAAGAAACCTTTACTTCATTATATAAAGACAAGCTAAATCCTTTATACGATGGCAAATATACACCATAAAGAACTTTTGTCATTACAATGAGCATGAGCGATCGTGAAACTACAATTGGTAATGGTGGCGTGGAGGACGAGTTATCACTTCCAAAAGGTATTTATTTGTTATTACAGTCTATTTTTTTTTAAAAACCTTTAATGAATATTATACACTTTTTTTTTATTATTATTTTTATAAAGCGACTGTCACTAAGCTCATTACAGAAATGTTACCATCCGACATTGCTTGTGCAAAAGATACCCGCGATTTATTAATAGACTGTTGTGTTGGTAAGTAGATTAAATAAGGATCTATCTCATCGTCTTTGTCAGTTTAATATTTATAATAAAATATGTCAATACTCTACCAGAATTTATTCATCTAATCGCTTCTGAAGCAAACGAGATTTGTGAGAAAGAAGCTAAAAAAACTATAGCTGCGGAACATGTCATTACTGCGCTTCAAGTATGAAAGTATTTTGTCTCCAAAATTTACCTTGTACATTATTAATTAATTAAACTTTCTTAATCAGACTTTAGGTTTTGAAAATTATTTATCTGAAGTACAAGAAGTTTTCAAAGAACATAAAAAATTGCAGAAGGTAAAGAAATTGATTCCCATTCTTAATCTATTAAATGGATTTTAAGAAAAAACTAATCAATTACTTTATTGTGTATATTAGGATCGTGATAAGAAAAGCTCAAGATTAGAAAATTCAGGTATGACAGAAGAGGAATTATTGAAACAACAAGAACAGTTGTTTGCACAATCTCGTCTCAAATATCAAGCACAACAACAATCGTGAATGGGTATTAATATAAAATGATGCTTTAGTATCTAGTAAATTTTGCTTCTTTTATGGATATTTCTATTTTCACAGTTATTTTCGAAACATTGATTTGTAATAAATACCAGAGAATATAATAAATTTAATAAATTTTATTATGCTTTTTTTTGCTTTCTCTTTGCAAGAACGCCATGACGTAAAACTCAATATTTTATTCGATAGTTGAAGTGACAAGTTCTTTCTATACTTGCAATTGTAAATAAACGTTCGTTTCGTACATATTGATTTAATAATAATATTAGTAAAGCTTTCAATTTAACCAAAAAAAAATAATAGAGTAATTTAAGTAGTTAATGGATTGTATGACAATTTAACTAAAATCAACCAAAATTTGGCTGAAACTATAAACTGATTTGTACTCAATTTTTAAAAATTAAGCTTGTTTTCTTAAATTTAGGGAGTAATTGTTTTCGAACTTTAATTTGTAATTTCGACCCGAAAGAGAAATATAATTTTCTTTTTTGGTTCATTTAAATTAAATAAAATTATCTATCTTTCGTTAAGAAATTATTTATTGAAAGAATATGAATAATCAGGCGCGGGCATCGCGTCACGCGTCTGGTATTTTACCATCAAAGCAGTTTTTTGCACCAAGAAAACCAATAACACATAGTGCTTCGTTACGAAGGAAATCTTCTGTCGTTGGTAATTCACCAAATACACCACCTTCGCCTGGATCAACATTTACTTCCGCAATAGGCTCACAACTTTTAAATATTCCATCTGAAGAAGAAGTTTCTCTTTTACATCAGCCTTCTTCACTCGCCCTTACAACCCTTTCATCACACTCTCCTTCCATCATCAATAACCCTTCACTTGACCAATCGGTTAATACTATTTTTAATTCAGATGTCTCTATCATTAATCGAAATTCTACACCAGTTAGACCTCCAAGTGCTTTGCTTTTAAGACGTCAACAACGTCAAAGCGGTGAAGGTGGAAGTACAGAATTATCTCAAGCTGTTATTGATTCTGTTATGGAACCTATTAATCCTGCACCAGTTTTAGAACCCTCATCATATAGACAATTAATGCGTCAAGCTACAATCAATGCTGGTTCAGATTTATCATCAAAGGATTTTGCAGCTGCTACCGCTTATTCTAGACATTCTGATGTTTCTCCTAATACACCTACCTCTAACACTAAACTTACTATGATGTCATCAAAGAAATTTAACCCCTCTTCTCCAACAAAACAGTCTAATTTTAATCCTTATGCATTAATCAAAATGCCTCGTATTATATCATCTCATTCAATATCTTCAACTGATTATAAGGGGCAAAAACGTTTATATCAAGTATGGCCTGGAAGAAATCGTTTTTTTTTAGGCGGTAGGATAATGACCAGTAGAGATTTTCCTGCTTTTTTGGTTGCTTTTTCTGCTCTTGTAGTTCCATCAGGATTATTTATGGGATTTACGTAAGTTTAAAAAGGCTCATTAGGTTAAACATAATGTGTTTCTGTATCTTTTTCTAATCAATTTATTATAAAAATTTAGTTGTCCATTTCTTTTTAAAAATGTATCGCCGGCGGTGGTGTTTATATTTGTTTATTTATTTTTGTTAGCTGTGACTAGCATGCTCAGAACTTCATGGTCTGATCCAGGAGTAAGTTTCATTATTTTTAATCTATTGCATTCTCAAATTATTTGTCAGTTTTTATTAACAACAATTTAGTAAATTTATTTGACATAATGGAATAATTTTCTGCTACAGATTATTCCAAGAGACTTGGATCCATCTCCCCCAACAGAATATATAGAGGATCAAAATGCACAAAATAATACAAACTTTGCTTATGAACAAGCTCGTAGTATTCCACTTCCAAAAGAAGTTAAAATCAATGGGCAACCAGTTAGATTAAAATATTGTGAAACATGTAAAATATATAGACCACCTAGATGTAGTCATTGTAGACAATGTGACAATTGCGTAGGTAAGAATCTTTAAACCTTATTTTTTATATTTACTATTTATTTACAGAATAACTTTTTATTTTTATTATCTAGAAAATGAAGATCATCATTGTATTTGGCTAAATAATTGTATAGGACGACGAAATTATAGGACGTTTTTCACATTCATAGCAACAGCCACTATTATATGCGTTTATGTCCTAGGATTTTGTCTGGTACATTTATTACTCCTTATGAAACAACAAAAATCACACAATTTTTTTCATGCGATCATGGGAGCACCTGTTAGATATCCTTTTATCATTTCATATTTAAAATCTCATTTTTTATCAAATAATTATAATTCTCCTTAACTAATTGAAAACTTTTCTGTTAGTTGTGTTATCTTTTTTCCTTATGTGGTCTGTGGGTGGATTAACAGGATATCATATGTATTTAATAAGTAATAATTTGACTACGCATGAACAAGTAAATCATTCAGTATTTTTTTTTTATTGATAATAATAATTAATAAATAATAATTATGCATATTAATTTTTTTTTTAAGATACGTGTTCCTATGGCAAGAAGGAATGGTAACAGAAATCCATTTGATTTTAGAAATATATATAAGAATTGTCTTTGGGTTCTTTGTAGACCTATGTCACGAAGGTTAGTAGTTTTTTTTTTTCATAATATCATATTAATTAAATAAGACATGTCACTTATATTAATAATATTTAATTAAAATTTGATTAAATTTATAGTTTTGTTAGTAGACGTGCCTATGTTGATAATGAAAATTTGCGAGATGAGATTGGTGGTGTTGGCGCTTCATCAGCACTTCCAGGCAACACTTTCAATGAGGGTGTTAGAAGTACGGTTATAGCAGGTGAAGTTAATACGAGTGAAATAGACAATAATACACTTGGTGAAGGTGATATAAGAGTAGACATAAAACAAGAAGTTATTACCTATAATAATGGCGATGATTTAAATGAGCTGCAACCACAACAAAATGAAAATAATAAAATTAAAGTGAATGCAGAGCAAGTATCATCGTTTTTCAAACCACCTGTTCAATCCATTGAAGTTGATGAAAATAATTCTGTACCAATTGAAAAAGAACAAACTAAAGAATTACAAACAGGATCGATAATTTCAACTTAACAAAATAATAATTAAATAGCAACTTTTTTAATAATAATTTTTCTCCCATATTTATTTATTTTTTCTTTCCTAATTTATTAATTTTGGTGAGAGGTTTTTTATTTGTAATAAAAATTATACTGTGCGTGAATAATATTATATTAAAGTAAAATAAGTAATGTATTTTTTAAAATCATTCTATTTATTACTCTTTTAAAAGATATAACTCGTTTTTGTAAAAAAACAAATTTTTACATATAACATATATTTAAAATACCGTAAAATTATAATAGACAGTAAAGAAAAACGAAAAAGAATAAATGCCAACTAGCATATCAAATACTATTATACTAGTTAAATAAATACGCAAAATGCTAAAATAAAATAAAAAGGTAGTAAAATAGTTGAAAAATGAAAAATATTAAAATAATTATGCAAGTATATTTGTTATCCGTTCATAAATCTAATGACCATTACACTCAAATTATCGGTACTAAAATTTGCTAAAGCATGTTCAATCAACTTCGCACTCGCTATTTGTGGATCCTTAATGTCTTTGATAAGGTCTACAGCATTTTGATCATCACAAACATCCCATAACTAATATATACAAAAGATATAAATAAAATGCTAAAAATATTTAAAAATAAATATAAATAAGTATAAAATATACTTACCCCATCACATGCCAATATCAAAAATGGATCATTTTCAGTCAACTCAGTTTCTGCAGTATATGGACTACCAACAACAAATTCTTTCATTGAACTATCTCCCAGTGAACGCGTAACTGCCAATACACCTTCACGAAAATTTGTTAAATTATGGATCATAAAAAAAAAAATGATACTATTCACTACAGAAATTATTTCAATAAATACCGTTGACACGATTATTCATGACGAATCCACCAGCATCTACGATTCTCTTTGCTTCTTGTGCATCACTTCCTTTATGATCATATGATAATCTAATCGCTAATCCGTTACGACTAATTAAATAAAATGAATTCATTAAGATTTAAATATCGAACTAAATATTTAATATTTTTGACTTTAATTTTACCTCAGAACAGCACGAGCATCTCCAACATTTGCAGTATATAATACTCGCTAATTTATTTACAATTAATAATTAGCTTTAACAAATAATAAAAAATATGATACAATCATTATTAACATACCTTCTGTTTACTTTTTATATTTGCACCATTGCTAACAGGTTCCTTACCATTGGCAGGTTCACCTTCCGATATCTCTTCGGTTCTCAAGAAAGCAACAATAGCCGTACATCCAGAATGTTTACCTGCATTCTGATTGAGTTGCTTATCTGCTCGCAGAAAAGACAAATGAAAAATTTCTGGAATTGGGAGATTCTTATTTTCCTGAAGAACTTCTTGAAAAGTCTACGTAAATATGCGCATTTTTTTAAAAAGAGGAGAAAAGAACAATAAGAAACATGTTAAAGAGCAATTACTTCTATAAATCAATTTTGTTATGTACGCCTTACGTTATCTCTTGTGGAACTATCATACCCCAGTTATAAAAATTCACATAATCAAATTTCTTTTTTTTTTATTGGGATGTTCTTTACCTCATGAAAATGATTCCCACACCATTCAGCTGCTTGTTTTCCCGCATGGCCATCGAAAACAGCAAAGAACCCCTGACCTTCAATTCCCGCAAAATCATAGAAAAACGAATGAGCATCCTATAAAAAAGAAATTTAGCGAGGGAATGGCATAAGATCATATTTAATTGAGATAATGACAAGGGTCCCTGCTTTAGAAAAACTTTGATCAAAAAAGATGTAAAAAAGATTCTGTCTTCGGTGATTGTGGTAGTATAATGTATTATCTCTAATTAACACGAAAATTTTCATTTACCTCCATTGTTCTTCTATATCGCTTGTTACGATCTTCACTAACACCAACATTAAAATATGAAAATTCACTTTTTTTATTTGATACTATCGAACTTTGTTGCTGATTAAGAGAACTAGGTGCATTTGCATTAGAATTGGAATCTTTTTCTTCACTTTTTCCGTCAATATTATTACTACTATTAGTAGTGTTAAAAGAACCAACTGGTTTAGTTGACTTTTCTTTAGAAGTTAAGGGTACTGAAGAAACAGACACCTCTACACTACTATCATTTGGTGAAACAGTATCTTCAGAATTCTTTTGAATAGGAGTTGAAATGTTGTTTGAATCGTCTTTAGGCTCAATTTTAATTTTAACGTTTAGATCAGGTGTTGAAAGTTCTTTTGTAGTCTTTGAAGATGGTGTAGATGGAGAAATCGAGGACATTTTTCTTTTTTTCTTGCTTTAATTATTTTGTTTAAACTACAAACCGATCTTTTACTATGTTAAATAAAATCTTTTAAAATACTTGACAAAAAAAAAATATATATATATAATAATAATAATAAAATACAATACGATAAGAATAAAAATAAATATACAATCAAAAAGCTAAAAAAGGTTTTTATTTTAATATCATTTAATTTTTTTTATTGTAAGTTCAATAATACTTATATCTTTAATACAATGTTTCAATACTAAATTTTTTTTTTTACTAAAAAAACTAAGAAAAAAAAAAAACTACCCGCCAAACGAATGATATAAATCTTTGCAAAAGGGTCCAACCCTTCTAAGTTTCATATAATATACAATTAAGCTGTACAAAAAAAATTGCATTACATATCAACCTTTCCAAATAAAGTTAATAGAATTTTTCCTTGTGCGTTTATTTGCATTTTTGTACTACATTCATTGGATATTTCAATATAACAATTAGTCGTGTGGCTTGTTAAAGGTACCATTTTTTATGTTGATACCGGGGAAATGAAAGAAGAAAAATCTTCCGAATTACCCACGTACAGTCACACTTGGGTAATTAATTTTACACGTAATCCACTTAGCCACAATAAGACAACTGATTTTTTTTTTTTTTTTTTTTAGACTTCAACTCAACGTTTTGATTTAGCGGCATTATGTGTTTATGTTGTGACTGATAGTTCATGGTCAAATAATGATGCTGAAAAAGCTTGGAAACAAAGTTTTTTAGCTAATATTTTTCGTCAGTTGGCAGTTGATGATAAAAAAGGTATTATTATCACTTATCATCATAAATAATTATTTTAATATATTATATCCATAAATTAAAAAAATTTATTCATAATTATGATAGCAGAACAAGATGTTTTATTAAGGATGCCAGGAGAGACAGGAAACGTTTCAATAGCAATTGATTTACTTTCATCATCCTTTAAAAGTTTAAACAATGATGAAAAAAAAATCGACATTTGTGAAGAAGTTATATCTGATATGATTATAATTTGCCTCGGATTATCACCATCAAATTTGGAAAAGGTTGATAAGCAATTAAAAGCAAATGATAATTCTAAAGAAAGTTCTTTCAAGGAAAAGTTAGATAATGTAATATCAAATACGATTGGTTCCACTGATTCACCGCCGATTATGCCAGCAGAATATGATTCTAGAGCAAGAGCGATCTTATTTAAACTTGCTTCTCATTTAAATATTTCTCCATACAAAATAAGATCAACAGAAAAAGCTGTGGCACAACATCTATATCTCTTGCGGCAACAAGCGGAAACTGGAAAAAATGACCAAGATCATGAAATTCAAGGATTGCACACTAGCGCAAATGAAAGCTTAAATGAACGTGAAAAACGAAAGAAAAAATGGAGATGGATGGCTACTGGGGTTGGTGTAGTTGTTGGTGCTACAGCGATCGGCTTAACAGGCGGATTAGGTAAACAATTTAACTATTATTTTTGTTTGAATTAAAATTTTTTTATTAATAATAACAAATTCGTGTATTGTCAAAGAAAGCTGCTCCATTTGTAGCTGCTGGTATAAGTGCAATAACTGGGGCAGGTATCATAGTTACTGCTGCGTCTAGTGCTGCTTTAATGGGTTCTTTATTTGGAATTGCAGGAGGAGGACTTGCTGGTAATGCTTTACGCTATATATATTATATTATATTATGAAAAAAAAAATACTGAGTGATCATATTTATTTATGTAGGTTACAAAATGCACAAGATAACTCAAGGTCTTAAAGAATTTTCTTTTACTAGAGTTTTACAAGATGATTCGCTTCCTTTAATCCCTTCTCTTCATGTTAGTATTTTCCAAAAATATATATTTATATATTTTTATCTTTCGAGTATTATATGAATATTTTTTTTTAATTCATAGGTGAATATTGTTATTTCCGGATATCTTTTGAAAAATGATGATGAAATAATAAATCCTTGGCTTCCAACTTTTCAAAATAGTGCAAATTATAGTGACACATTTGCATTGTCATTTGATAAAGAAATACTTCGATCACTCGGACTTGCATTTCGAAGATTTTTGGCAGAATCGGCTGTTAAAGTAGTAGCAAATTCAGCTATCCAACAAACAGTATTTGCTGCTATAGCAAATGCTTTATTATTGCCAACCGTTTTAATGAAAGCAGTAGATATGATAGACAATCCATGGGCTTTAGGTGCGGATCGTGCTCAAAAAGCTGGGTTAGTTTTGGCGGATGTTTTAATACAAAGAGTTCAAGGAAAAAGGCCAACCGTTTTGGTAATTACAATTATATATACAATTAAATTTTTTGATTTAAAATATATATATATTTAAAAATATATATATATATATATGTTTTTCTAGATTGGATATTCACTTGGAGCTTTAGTTATTTGGCATTGTTTACTTGAATTAGCAAAAAAACAACAATATGGATTAATTGATACAGGTAAGAATAAATTTTAAAAGTTTTACTATATTTTAATATAAAATAACTTAACAAATATATTATATGAAATAATAATTTTAGTTATTTTAATTGGAGCACCTATTACATCTACACAAACTTCTAAATGGAAGAATGCTATAAGTGTAGTTAGCCGTAGATTTGTTAATGCATATGCAACAAATGATATTGTACTTGGGTTAATATATAGAATGCATTCGTTAGATTTAAACGTTGCAGGATTGCGCGCTGTAAATTTTGATAAAGTTGAAAATTATGATATTACTAAATTTACTTCAGGACATTTAGGATATTGTGACCCTGAAACTCTTTCGAAAATTCTTAAAGAAATTGAATTATATTAATTATATTAGGAAATGATTTTTTTTTTTTTTATTGAACATTGATCATTTTTTTATTATATTTTATTTTATCTATTACTAATTTAATTAATATATAGGAAGGATTTATTTTTTTTAATCATATTATGAATTAGTAATTGTAATTAATATTTATATATATATGTATATTTATATAATAATAATAAAAATAAAAAAAAAAATTTAATAATGATCCAAAAAATTTTTTTATTCTTATTACATAATTTTTAGTTGGGATATTTGATGAATTATAATCACTATTATTATTTGTCTTTTATTGAAGGTTCTTCAGTTTTAACTTTAGGCGTTACATCATATTTGTCCGGAAATGAATTGAATGTGGGTGTTACTAGCTTAGACGGTGTTACTAACGCTGATAATTTTTTTAAAAAAATTAAACCGGATTAAAAGTTTTGCACAATTTTAAATAATGTTATAATAATGTTTTAATCAATACATACCCCTATTCCTTGGTGATGCAGCATAAGAAGCTCTTAATTGGACATCAACACCAACTGATTTTGGTAAATTCGACTTGCGCAGTAATTTTCTTGCAGCTGGTGATAAATATGAAGCACGTTCCCTTGGACTAGCTATTCTTTTTTTTATAAAAAAAAAAGAAAGAGAAAAAATAAAAATTAGTGAGAAACTTTAAAATGATAATAAAAAAAAACAAATTAATTTCTTATATATATTATATACTTTGACGTTGGACTTTGAGTAACGTATGGATTTGGCGATTTCATAGATAGATTTCGTTTGCGTATATTACGTGAGGCATTATTTGAAAGATTCATTCCAATAATTTCTCTGCGTTGTGTAGGTGGTAATTGAAAAGAACGTCCTAAAACATTATAATCAAAATAAAATTTAATATTCAACTTTCGCGGGAAATAAAATATGTAATTTTTTTTATAATTTACTACTTCTATTCAATAAGAAATTACCATAAATCTACTAAAAGCTATTACATTATTCCACTCGGCACCTATATGCATGGCCGGTGAATTTTTTTTTTTTAAAGCTCAACCAAGAAATTGAAAAAAAGTATCCTCGAAAATATGCTAAAAAAATAAAATTACATACCTGGTGTTTCTCCCCCAATCAACAACGGAGTACCCTCTATCATACCCCAAGTCATTAGTTCTGAACTGTCAATTTGTGAAGGGTTTGGGGAAGGTGTAGCAGTTACAAAACTGTAACCGCCAACTGTGGGAGTTTCAGACGCATTACTGCTACCTACAACAAAAACCAAAAAGATGGTATTCATTAAATATCCACTATTAAAGATCAACTAAAATGATTTTAAAGAAACAAACGTACTATCCAAATCGATACCACTAGCAGCAGCTGCTGCTGCAGTCGCTGCCGCATGATTTGCTATTGTCTATAAGACATAAATAAGTAAATAAAAGGATTATAAAATGAAAAGAAAAAATGAAAAAAAAAATGAAAAAAATTACCGCTTCTTCAGCAGACTCAAACCTTGTGGCACTATGAACGATTTTTTTAGGAGCACATCGTGTATTTTCCTCAACAGTTCCTTTATCATGGCCTTCGGGATAAAACATAAGAGAGTTGCGAACCTTCAAATTTCATGTAAAAAAACATTAGATTAAAAAAAGGAGGTAATATAAAAAAAAAAGCGAGACTAATTAAATAAAATTACCTTATATTTCCATGACGCAATTCCGGCAATTCTAGGCTGATCAGGTCCTTCAATCAATTTTATCTCACCCTTATTATCCTCTTGATCTTCTTTTTCATACATCCACTTATGTTTCTCCCTTTGTTGTTCACTAGCTTTTTTCATTAATTCTGAAAAGGTACGGTCAATTTTGGTTAAGGAATAAAAAAGGAAGATCTAAATCACTGGATTAAATTTATTATAATACTCAAATTAACTTAAAATGATATAAAATAAAAAAGATGCAAATAATAATATATTGCAAGGATATGAAGCATTATCTTCGCTAGTGTACTTTGATTGAAATGAATCTAAGGACATATTAATATTATATTTTTTCGGTAATGGCTTTTTAAATTCACCAGATCTACTACTAGTTGATATTGGTGTATCCCATTCTCCATGTATCCCAATTACAGTTGACGGCGTTTGAACTAAATAATAAAGCAAGAATTTATTGTTAAGTCAACAATAAAATGGAATCTTTAAGGGGATCAAACAGAAACTTTACCAGGTGTTTTCAATGTAGGAGTCGTTAACTCGGTTAATTTACGAGTAGCTTCCTTAATAAGTTCAGGATTATTTGTATTCCAAGCATCTACATAATCATTTTGCGCCTCAAGAGTTAAAAGGGAAGGAAAGAAATCCCTCTTTATGATTTCACTTAAAGCTTCCGTATATGAATCTTCATCTAAAATTTCTTGTTTTGGTTTTGAAGAAATTTTTTCTTGATCATCTGATATGTGAATAAGTTCTTTATTTGTTGTTTGACTTTCTTCCATTTTGATAGATCAATATAAAAACGAGAAAATAAATAAATTGTTAAGGAACAAAATTTTTAAATTTAAATATTTCCGATCAATGAACTAAATTTGTGTGATCTGATCCGTGATTGCCTATCAAAATTCAAAAAACTTCCGATGTGCACATTATGCATTACAACATTAGCACATTAATTACAACAATTAGCATTAGCATGAACGGTTTATAATTTTCGAATGAATTGATTCTTTTATTTCATAAAGAATTGTTTTAATTAAAGCCGAATAACATAATAATGATATAGCATAGACTGTATAGTAATAAATCCAGCTAAATTTGGCCATTTTTTACTACGTTTTACAAATTTAACATTTCTTAATCATAGGACAATAAATATTGGTTTAGGATATGGGTTTAAGAAAATGCTTTGCAGTTCCTTATCCAATAACTGTGTTATTATGACATTATGACAATAAACTATTTTTACTTTTTTTTTTTATTTAGATTAATATCTAATTATCTAATTATCTATTGAGATATTTAATCTAGATGACGTAATGCGTCAAAAATATCAATAATATTTACGGCTTAATACCAGTACGTTATGTTATTCATTAAACAATAGATACCGGAGTAAACTATGAAAGATCTCAGTAATAATAACATTAATCAAAAATGTAGTTAATAGTTATAAGGATTGTTCATTACATTAAGAAATTACATCATTTTTTTTTTATTATGTCCATTACTCGTTTTACTAAATTGACTTTTTTCAACTAAAAGTGGTAAATTCTTTCCCATAAGATATAATTTATTCTTATATTCATTATTCACTTTAGTTTTTCCATATTTTAACATTTGTCTAGCAAAAATAAATCCTGTCATATATGCATCAAAATGTGCTGAATGATACATATCAAATTGATCCGGTTTAGTTGAAGGTAAAAGAGTTGGTGGTTCTGATGCTGATACATATTCTGTTGATTGGTTAATATCTTTTGGTAATCGTTCCTGATTTTGATTCAATTTACGTTTTTTTCGTCTTGTTTCGGCCTCTCTTGCTTGTTCATCCAATATAAAATCTAAATCATGTGAATTTCCACATTTCATTCTTTGTTTACAAAATCCATGAAACTAATTAATGAATAAAATATTAGTATAACCAATTATATAAAATTTAATAAAATAACTATATATTCATAATTCTTACAGCATATTGTTCACAATACTTTATATTTTGGGATCGATTTAATACTTTCTTCTCGTTTGAATAAGATGAATTCTCAAACTGATTTGATTGAAGAATTTGATTGTTATAAGTGTTTTTAATATCTTCTTGAATTGATAAGAACAAATATTCTTTGTTGCCAGAAAACTTATTATCAACCTGTTCTCTTTCGTATCTAAAAAAATTTTATTAATAGATAATTAATAAAATCGAACAATAAAAAAGTTTTTTTATATAAATATATAAAAAGACTTACTTGCGGAACAAATATGCTAAAAAACTACTCTTTTCTCTTGTGACATAATCTGCTATATATTTTGTATCTACAATACCACCTAAAAACATTTCAGATAAATCCGCGATAAAGGTACTTAATTTACTTGGTAAATCAGCGTAAAAGGAATAATAAAGGTATATCAAATCAAAGAATCCATTATGCACAACAATAGGTACATTCCTTGATAGAATGTAAGAAAATATTGATCGCATAATATTATTTGGATCCTTGAGGTTGGAATTTGACTAGTAGTAGAAAATTTTTAATTTAACTTATACTCACAATACTTTTTTAAAATGATTATTATAAAAAAAATTTTGATCAAACCTTATCACATCCTGGAAAATATGGAATTCCTTTACGGATTTGCTTATTAAAATCGAATCCACTATCAGATAAGAACTGTAAACTTTGTGGGCTTATAATATGATCAACCTAGAATAAAAAAGTGATTATTAAATACGTGTAATACGTGCAAATTAATCCAATTTATTATATTAAAAGGATATTTACTTGACTTAAGAGACTGAAGTTAAAATTATGAACGTTATAACGTTTTTCCAAAGATTCAGACATTCTTTGTACATCATTTGTTACTTCTTCAAATATTGTGAGACCAAAAGCAACCAAGGCATGTGATCTAACGACTTTACATAAATTGACATAACGTTCTTCAATATTACTAAAGAAGTATAATACTTCCAAAATTAATAAAAAAAATATAATAGTTATATAAACAGCATATGTATATGTATATTGTATATGTAAAATAAATTTAAAACACTTACGGAGCCTTAGTGTTAGCTTCTTTTCCACCTAGACCAGTAAACTCAGTATCCAAAGCTATGAAACTTGCAGAATTTAAAGCTTTTTCAATAATGTGCTGAATAGAAACCAAATTTTCTTTTGTAACATCCTAAAGCACAAAAAAAAAGGTAAGTTTAACTTTTAAAATACGAGTAAAATTTTGTAAACTTACAACGAAAGACAGAGATTTTGGTGGCATGTTTTTTTAAAGATATCTAACAAACACGATCGAGAAGAAAAATACTCATGTGATTATTGTGACTTATGTGACGTTAATTATCATGTGATTCAAACAATGTTTTAAAGAATCGTATAAAGTTGGATGGATTCACCAAGCAAAAGCAAATGGTTAGATCGTTGATTGTTTAAAAGATTACTTCATTAATATTATCTTTAATATCAATAAATTTTTAGAAATTTCGTATTAAAGACCTTATCTCTTTGTTTTATAATTCAAAGAATTTTTTATCTTTTAAAAAAATTAAAAATTAAAAATTAATGGGTATACTCTATTCCGAATAACATTTTAAATTTCCTAACATTTTTATCTTAACAGTTAATCCATAAATAATCATTCCGGACAATTAAGTGATCTCATATATTCAAAATGAAACTTTTTTTGTCATTGATAATTTAATCCTTTCAAAAAATGGACTAAATTCTTTTTCAAATAATAACTTTATTTGTTTAAATAAAAATGAAATCATTTTTCATTTGTACATTTAAAGGAATTATAACAATGAACAAGAAGATAGCAGAATTTGCAATTATTTTTAGGTTCTGATGAAATTCGTAAAAGAAATTTTTTCGTGTAATTTATTTTTTTATTATAATAAATGATTCCTTTTTCGAAATTAAAAATTAATACACGACATATTAATAAATGCAAATACAAAATGCAAAGAAATGTGTATGACAATAAATTCCCACCTAAAAGATTACTAACATGCAGCAATTCTCATTCAATTTCTTGTTTAAGTAAATGATTTATGTAAATTTAAGGCTTCTCAATGCTTTGTTCTTTGTAAAGTTTATTCTCACGTAGATTCAATATTAAACCGAAAGTAGTGATGAGCAGCAGCAGCATGCAATATGATAATTATAATAATTACAAGTTATTTAACCAGTCGTAAGAAAATCTAACAATCTAAAGGGGGTTAACTTTATATGAACATTTTCTATATAATGAATAAAATTTCTAAATTGAGACTTAATGGTTAAGAAAAAACTAATTGTTCCTTTGATACCTTGTATAAAAACGATTGTTTAAGAAAAAAATATGTTTCGTAATTTGTACCGAGTTTTTCCGAGTTCCGTATCAGCATCAACTACAAATACGACCCTGATCTCGCTGAAATTGTTGAAATCAAATTCAAATTCTTTACGTCGATCATCATCTTCACAAACTTCTTCTCTAAAACACTCTACAATGTCTGCTGAAGTATTTTATAACCTTGAAACCCCTGATATTAAAAAGAATCCTTTTAACTTTTCAGCTTGGAAAGGAAATGTTGTATTGCTCGTTAATGTAGCATCAAAATGTGGTTATACTCCACAATATTCTGGTCTTGAAAGTCTTTATAATAAATATAAAGACCAAGGTTTAGTTGTCGCTGGTCTTCCTTGCAATCAATTTGGTGCTCAAGAACCAGGAACTGAAGAAGGTAAATTTTTATTAGATCTCAAAAGAATTTTATTGACGTGTAAATTTAATACTTTTATTTTTTCTCTTTTTTTATTAAAAAAAAAAAAAAAGAAATTGTATCCTTCTGTTCCGCCACCTATAATGTTACCTTCCCATTATTTGCAAAAATTGATGTTAATGGTGAAAATGAATCACCCGTTTATAAATATTTAAAATCTCAACAACCTGGTGATATTAAATGGAATTTTGAAAAATTCTTGATCGATAAAAGTGGTAAAGTTGTTAAAAAATATACTTCTTCCGTTAAGGTTAGTAAAGAAAAAATTTGAAATTTTTCTTCTCTATTTTAATAAAAGAAATTTTATTCATAATAATTTGATTTTTGATTTCTAGCCTGAAGAAATCTCATCCGATATTGAAAACTTAATTAAGGAGTAAAACGATGCATTTTTTTTTATTGATTTATTTGATCACTGTTTTTTTTTGTTAAATATTATTTTATTCATATTAATTTCATATATTACTTACTCTATTAAATGTATAAGAATATCTAAATAAAATTTTTGATTTTTATAAAACGGTTGTTGTGAAAAGCATATTTTTGTTCCCATTGAAAATCAAATCTGCATTACGTCACCTCTGCTAAGCCACCGATGTCCGATCTGATTATGATAAAAAAAAAAAATTTTTCGTGTCGTCATCAGGATTTTTTTTTTTTTTGTTGTTTAAAAAAAACCGAAACTCAAAAAAATAAAAGTTTCGTAATAGAAGACTTTCATCATTACCATGCTTAAAACTTCAAATTTATTAAAACCTACTTTTTTGAAACGATCAAATGTAATTCTTCGTCATTCGTATGGACAATGTATTCGTAATATGAGTACTCAACAAGCCAAAAGTTCTAAAGGCGTTTTATCTAAAATTACAGGTACTTTTTTTTAAAAAATTAAATAAATAAATAAATAAAAAGTTGCTTTTAAAATTCGTTTAAATTTCATCATTTTCAATTTTTATTTCTTTTTGTTTTTTATTTTCTCTCGTTTTTTTTTTCAACAAATTTAATATATATTTTTTTTTTAAAAAAAAAGGTTTACAACTGTCTCTTATACACATCTAGATGTGTATAAGAGACAGATCGTATACAATGTAAAAGTATTCAATGAAATTGCAAAAGAAGTTTATACTAAAGAAAATCTTGGTCCACCTAATAAAGCTCAAATTTCTGAAGCTTGGGAAAATCTTAAATCTATTCGATGGAAAAATTTTAGTGATTTAGGTCCAAATGATTTTTTAAAATTTGGTATACGTAGTATTGAAGTAGCTGGATTCTTTGCTTTAGGTGAAATTATTGGTAGATTTAGTATAATTGGATATAATATTTAAAGAATAATATAATTTTTTTTTTTTTAAAAAAAAAAAAAAAAGAAAACCAGAGTCATTCTTATTATTAAAAGAACAAATTTCATATCACGATTTCTTATCATCCGTTGTTAAATTATTGGAATTTTCTCTAGAAAACTCTTGCTTTTTTTTAAAAAAATATATAAATAAAAAAAAAAAAGATATGTTATTAAAAGATAGAATAAAAAAACATATTTTTTTTATTTTTATTATTTTTTTGACCAACCAATTTTCGACGCGTAACATTTTCTTTACTTTGACTAAATCTTCGATTCATAATTACGCCTGCTCCAATAAATGAATATACTATAAAGAAACATGAAATTCATTAATTCTTATATGATAAACTGAAATTTTTTATATGAAACATAAAATTATAAAAATTACCTGTAATACCAGCTAATACTACAATCAAAGATCTATGAGCAACATTTGTAATTTTATTTCCAAGTGTCATTATTTTTTTTTATGGGGAAAAAAGGTTTATACGTTGCAATTTTGCAAATTAAAAAAATTTAAAAATTTTTTTGAATCGATCAAATTAATTAAACCAGATAAAATTATCACGTGAATAAAAAAGGGTTTAACGAAATAGGATAGTCGATCACCAATTTGTGGTAAATAGTGATTTTATTTTATTATTAAATAAATATAAAAATACAATTTTCTTAAAAAATAAGAAATATTCTTTTAATTCTGTGGTTTCCTGCCAACCATTAAATACATTGGAGTAAAGATTCCTAATTTACCGCCTTCAACTAAACAATCGCCTGCAGTTTCAAGTACGATTTGAGTTTGAAAAGAGCCTGCTGGAGCTATACCAACTTTTTCTAATCCTCCAACCTAAAATAATTTTTTTGTTAATTTAAAATATGCTTATTTGTTTAAAAAATCAACTCACTTGTTTATATGCTTACCAAAGCTCTAGTACAAAATTTGCCAAAGTGCGTCATACGAAAAACGCTAAAATAATCCCAAAGACATTGAGCCTTCCTAATATCGCCTTCTAATGGATAATACCAAGGAATAGTATCATCATTTAAAGCCATATCCTCGGCAGAAACAACTTCAAATCCAACATTTTTTAAAGATTGTAATGCAACTGAAGTTTTAAACAATTCTGGAATACCGTCAGCATACTTAAAATGAAAGCGAAAATATATATATATATATATATATATATATAAGTAAAAAAAGGTAAATGATTTACGCGTGATATTATAAAATTATAAGTTATCAATATTAAATTATAAAGTTATCAATAAAATTACCTCAACGCCACGTATAATTCTTCTGTGTTCAGGGTCGTTTGGATCATATTTATCAGTTACACACCATTCATAAAATGCAAAGGTACCACCAGGTTTTAGAACACGAAATACTTCTCCATAAACTCCTTCCAACTTAGGTGCATGACATGTGGCTTCAATTGCATAGACCGCATCAAAACTATTATCTTCAAATGGCATTTCCATAAAATTACCTTTAATAAAGTTTGTCTTGTTCTCTAGCCCTATTCTGGCCGCCGATCGAATTGCACGGCTAATTTGATAATCATTATTATTTATACCGGTAATATGAGCTCCGCTAAATTGGCAAATTTCACGTGCAGGTCCACCTTAAATCAGAAAAAAATGGTCAAGATTTCTTGGGGGAAAAAAAGGGGGGGAAATTTTTTTAAGGGGATATTTACCAACACCACAACCAACATCCAAGACTTTCATTCCTGACTTAATGTTCAATTGCACAGCTAAATAATGTTCATGACGCGCAATAGCTTGGTAAAAGTTTTCACCAGGATAAAACCGACAAAAGTGAAAACTTTCGCCCCAACCATACTAATTAAAGGAAGTAAAAAAAAAAAAAAATTTTTATATTAAATTTAATTGTTTCATTTTATTAAAACATAATTTTATTAATAAAATACCTCATAAAAATCAGTGGCAATATTATAATAAGCATTGGTCATATTAGTATAATTGGAACGTCTAGCTTCCTTCGTTTCTTCACTTTCCGTCATAGGATCTTTGTCGACCCAATATTTCATATAATTATTAACAACATTTTCAAAGGCTTCCTTGTCCTTTGAAGTAATTTTTGCAAGTAAACCACCATGTTCAGATTCATGGTTATGTAATGTCTTCGAAAAGGCCAAATCTTCTTCAAAAGATTGTGGGGGAGACATTTTGTTATTAATAATTGAATTGAAGATATTGATGTGACGGTTATAATGGCGTTACGGTAAATAAAAGGAAAAAAGACACAATTTATATCATACTACATTTTTTTTTTTTGGGAAGAGCATGGCTGGATGTGAGACAAGTATTCGAAAGATGTTCAACCAAATATTGGGGAAATTTAATTTATTATCAAGATAATATGTGGTCATTATAACAACACGTGAATTTGGAAATAAATAGATAAGTATCTAATCTGAGACTGATCAGCTTGTGACGAATTATAGTGTCACATATTTTAAAGAAGATCAATTTAGATCTATACCTCTAAACAAAAAAAAAAGTTTTTCCTTAATTTTATGTAAAAAAAAAACCTAACAATGGTAAGTACAAGAAATTTCAAAAAAGTATTTTTTTTTGTTTCTCACGAAAAAAGCTAATAACTTTTTTAGTCAGGTAATACAGGGACATCCTCACATCAATCAAAAAAAGTTGTGACTAAAGATGATTGGGTTAAGAAATTAGAAGACGTTAAAATTGATAAAAAGTAAAAGCTACTATTTTATATTTAAATGATCAAATATAGAAAGAAAAATTCTTTTATTTGCATTAAACATAACTAAATGATTTAAATGATTTTATTTTATATTTTGTAGTGATCTTAATAAACTTATAATGAATTATTTCGTGATCGAAGGATATAAAGACGCTGCCGAAACGTTCAGTCAAGAGTGTGGTCTATTACCAAGCATTGATGTTGATTCTATACAAGATCGTATGAATATTCGAAATGCCATACAAAATGGAAATGTTGAAGAAGCAATTGAACGTGTAAATGATTTAAATCCAGAGGTAATATATACATGATTTTATGTCTTTTATAACGAATTAAAAAAAAAACAAAAAACAATGATTAGCGAAGTGTTCATGCACCACTCTTAGGACTTTATTTAAGTCAATGATGAAAATTACACATCATTCAGTCTTCAATATGAGTTTTTTAATTAGTTAATATACAAAAAAAAAAAAATTAGAACAATATTTCATTAATATTGTGTCCCAATTGTGGAAAATATCTTGAATTAGATATTGGATACAAATCCAAAATTATATTTTCATCTCCAACAGCAACGATTAATAGAATATATTCGTGAAGGAAAAATAGCTGAAGCTTTAGAATTTGCTCAAGACGAATTGGCTCCTCGTGGAGAAGAAAATGTGATTATTTATTTTTCTCAATTGAAATTTGAATTATATATATATATATATTTTTTTTTTTATTAAATTTTATTGTTTATTTATGATAATAGCCAGAATTCTTAGAAGAACTGGAACGCACTATGGCATTATTAGCATTTGACGATACAACAGTTTCTCCCGTTGGTGATTTACTACATCCCTCACAACGTCAACGAACAGCGAGTGAATTAAATGCAGCAATCTTAACTTCACAAAGTCAAGAGAAAGATCCCAAATTACCGAACATGTTAAAAATGTTGTTCTGGGCTCAAGATGAATTGGATGAAAAGGTTTTATTTCCTAAAATGAAAAATCTTGTCACTGCGGAGCTGGTTGAAGGTAACAATAATAATAATAACACGACAAATTCGGGAAATAATTTTTTGTCTACTTAATAATGGAAAAGAATTTGAAAAGATTATTTTATCTTTTTCCTTCCTTTCTTTTTCTTTTCCTTTTTCCTTTTTTGTTTTATTTATTTTATGGATATTTACAATTTATTTTACAATAAGATAACCTTTTTTATTCGTAGTTAAAAATATTAAGAACTACGGGAACACGGCCATTAGAAAAATTGGTAGATATTCAGAAATGCGTTATTAATTTGAAATAGTTTGAAGGGGGGAGGGGGTTTTTTCCGAAAATAATTTTATTAAAATTCTGTAATATGAAAGATGAACAAAAAACGTATATATAATATATATATATATATATTATATATATTATATTTTTATCACAACTTCAAAATTTGTAATATTAGAATCATGTATCTATAATGAATTAATAGTAAAATTCTAATCCCATTTAATTACGTCCGGATGTGTTTTATAAGTTTCATATGCTTCACGATTGAAAAAAGAAATTTCTGTTTCATTTTCTTTTTTTTTTATTTTTTTTTAAAAAAAAAAATGTGTAAATAAATATATGTATGTATATATTTATTACTACTGAGATAAGAAAACTATACATACCAATACCACATGAAGCCAAATTATCATCATCATTTGAAAAAATCATATTTTCGTCATCTTCCATGTTTATAATCAAGCTTTGTGTCTAATAATTTAATATATGTTACATTTAATTATGATTAATTAGAAGAAAAAGAAAATACTTATAAAAAACCATTTTTTTTTACTTTAGCTCCGTGGGCCTTTGTATAAAGTTTTAACGTATCTTAAGAAAATTCACGTGATATATGTGTATACATATTAAAAGTGTATCGGTTTTTAACAATAAATTAATGACTTTATCATATATCATATTCACCATAATTCACATTACGAAAAGGTTTTAATCCGGGTGTAGAATTTATCTCTAATTTATGTTATTAAAAGAAAAATATATATATTTGTATATATAAATTATATACAGTATATACACAACATTTATTTATGATTTAATATTTTTTGAATTTGTAATAAAAAAAAAAGACGTACTCTCAATTATTAATTCTTTTAATTCTTTAAAAGTTGTTGTTTCTAAATTTATATGTTGTAAAACAAGATTTTTAATGGTACGATACTCAAAATTTTTTATTATACGTATTGTTATTGTTGAAGAAGTTGTTGGATTAAGAGTATTCGTTAATGGCTCGGATGCCATTATTATGAAGATTTTTTATTTTTTTTTTAAGATAAAAAATTTTTTACCTTTAACATTTGAAGATCTTTATCAACAAAACTTTTAACGCCTTTTTTTGGCACAGTACTGCCTTTTATATATTTATACTTTGATTATTCTTGATTATAATAATCAAACGGAAAACCTTGAAAAGAGAAAGGCCGAACTATTTTTTTTTTTTTAAGGGGTGTTATTATGTCAGTAATTAAATAATGCAGGCTGAATAATTTAAGGCGGTTTTTATTATTATTATTCAAACAAATAAATAATACTCGTTAGTTACATCATCGAAGTAGTTATATATCGAATCAGTGTACTTTCTCTATCAACAGCTAGTTAATTACCCTTTCCTTTCTTTAAGAAAACAAAGATCTCAGAAATTTTGGAGATAAATAAAGGATTTTTATTTATTTATTTTTTACTAGCATTAACCCTATAAAAAAAAACTCTAGTTTTGTTCCGAAGAAACTCAGACACGTGATCATTTTTCTGAAAAATTTTTTATAGGAAAAAAAAATAAATTCATCTCTTTATTTAATGAAAAGCATAATTTCATCATTGTTTAAATTAGGTAAATTTTACAACAAAATAAGCATTTTTATTTATATTTTAAACCTATAGGTTTATATAGTAAATGCTGGTCAAAATTATGGAAATCTCTCATGATTCAAATATATTAATATTTTTAACATTGATGGATCTTTTCAATCTCATCATTAAGAGTTTTGGGTTTAGAAGTATTAGAAGTATTACAACGTCTTATGATTAATATTATTAAATTATAGTAGTTAAAAATACAGGAATGCCAACACCCAAATTAATTTTTAAAATAATATCTTCAGTTGTTAAAGGAGAATTATAAACAGTAGTAGGAAGTGTTGATATAAAAGTTGTAGAAGGATTTGAAAGAGTTGAAGGTTCATATACATATAAGAACCCAAGAACCACCACAAATTTGAGAATTATTTCCTGGACAACTAGCACTACAATATTCTGAACCTAAATGTCGTCCTACACCACCATCATAGAAATCACCACAAAAACATTGAACTCTTGCTTCTAATCCAGCCTTGACAATAATCTATACATTCATTAACCGTCATTGTTTCAAGTGAATTGCATTTACCACCCAAGATTCTTTTACCGCGAACCTTATACATCTTTTAGAATATACATTATATTTAGTTTTTCTTCAATGGTTATTTTTGAAGGTGGAGTGTAATATTATATTTCAGCCTTATAAACTGTATAAGCTCCTTTTCCACCATATGGGTAGGTTACATCACCTTTTAAGTAGTAATAGTGCAATATACATTACACTTTTACCTTAATATAAGATTGGAGTGCATTTTTATATCCACAGCGTTAGTTGGTAGTTGGTACCATTCTCCAAAGCAGCATAATCAAACATAAGATCGATAGGAAATGTTAAACCGGCTCTGCAAGACCATTAAACGTATCAATAGACGAATTGTTATTAAAACATAACAACCTACATATAATGAATCGATTTATACTATATATAACGAAAATTTGATTAATAATTTACTAAATATGAATAATAAATAAATCTATATTTAGAAGACTAGTCACTAATATTAATTTTTGAAACAAATTCACTAATTCTTTAAAAAACATTTGATATTGGTAAGGGAGAAAACATTGTTTGGGGGCTACATTTAAGAAGGATTAGATAATAATGTTCGATAATAAGAAGTGTACAAAACGCCATATTTATACGAGCTTTATAAGCGGTGGTAAACTTTTTTAAATACTGCGGGTGTTTCATAATCTAGTCCAATTATTACTGTATCTATGCTTCATTATTTTACCATAAAAGGTTCTGATTTTTGGATTTGCTGTGACTAAAGGATATCATTGTTTTGGTGATCATTAATACACTCGTCTTTTATTGTTACATGTTTATTTGTTCTCGATTGGCAATATTACTAATTTTAGAAACTTTATTTAGGTGCTACCGTAAGAGAAAATTACAAGATGAGAATACATTTATGCAATTTTCAAATGATAATCATGCTGATTCATGCATCCTGGAATCTTGCGACTCATGCAACTCATGCAACCACTGTTTCATATTTTCAATACTAACATCAAATGACATTACTAGTGAATGCGAAGACTTTTTCTCAAAGTTTCAGCAAAAAATTACAAAAAGTTCAATAATACATAATTACATATTAATTTATTTTTAATTTCGTTGATATCAACCCTTTTTTTTTAATTGATCTAAAAATTTCACGAATAAATGAATCTCTTTAAATTTAATTTGTTATGTAAAAGGTAATGTAAGATAAAAAAAAAGGAAATTGCTAGATCTCGTATGTGATATTCAAAAAATATAACATCATCTTATTTGTGCTTTCTTTGGTAAAGATTACGATTTTCTTTTTTTTTTCTTTTGTTAATATATGAATTCTCTTAAAAATATTTACATTCTGTTTTCATTCAAACCTTTGGGCGATGAATAGTTATAATTAGTTATATAATTCATTATTAACACTTGATTTACTTTACAATAAACGAAAAGATTAACTATTTAAGAGTAAAAATGCTACTAATACAATCTAAAATAAATGACTATAATTACTGATTACTAAAATTACAGATATAATTTATCATATTTCCTTTAAAAATGAATAATGATAAAGTCAGAATCATCGATGGGCCTTATCATTATCATCTTCATAATTATCATTTTCGTCATTGTCATCTTCATCGTATTCATTTTTATTATGCCTTGAGCGTCTTCTGATGAATAAAAACGCGATTACAATGACTACAATTATAAATGCAGGAATTCCAATACTCAGGCCGATTTTTAAACCAGTAGTATCAGTAGTATCATCAGCAGGAAGAGGAAGTGGAACTTCATATAAACTTAGAGCCCAAATGCCTCCACAAATCTGAGAATTATTACCCGGACAACTAGCTCTACACTGTTCTGAACCTATGAGTCGATTTATGCTGTTATAGGAATTGCCACAAAAACATTGAGTTCTTGCTTCAAGTCCAGCAAATTTATAATTATCTTTACGACAATTATCTATACATTCATCAACTGTCATAGATTCAGATGACAAACAACTATTGCCTAAGACTCTTTTACCGCAATATTTATCATCCTGAATACATCCTTTGTAGTAAGGATACATTTTTTTATCCTTATCAATGTTGTACATAATATTGAGTTTGTCCTCAATAGTAATATTGTAAGGTGGGGTGTAATATTGTAATTCGGCTTTATAAATTGTATAAGCTCCCTTTCCGCCACATGGATAAGTCACTTTGCCGGTTAAAGTATTAGAAGTACACAATATATTGCACGTATTGTCGTCATCAACCTTTGTATAAGATTGAAGAGCATCGGCATATCCACAACGACAGTTAATACCATTCTCCACAGCAGCATAATTAAATTTAAGATCTATGCAAGTTTTAAGGCAAAATCCTACAATACGATTATTTTGAGTAGTGTAAGGATCAGGGAATATTAAACTAGGTCTGCTCGGACTGTTCAACATTGCAAGACCATTGAATTTATCATAAGTAGAATTGTTACGAACAAAACACCCTATTGGAGAGACTTGAGGATCTTGTCTGAGAATCTCACCATTTTCATCACATTTGTCAATACATGCCATAATAATATGGTTATGTAATTTAAGAATTAAAAAAAAATAGAAAAAAAAATTTATTGTTTTTTTTTTTTAGTTTAGTTCATTAACTTTGAAGAAACTTTTTTGATACTATTAAGAAAGAATTTAGTTGCATCACCGAACTATTTATAAGTTTCTTTTTGTAAATTTATTTATATCGTACAAGTTTTATTACACGAAGCCAATCCTGCTAAATTAATCCGTACAATGTATTTCATGTTTTCATAAACTAAATTAAGGTTGCCCATTCTAATCTAAATAATGACATCTTGAACAATTTAATTTTTCTTTCATTCAATCAATTCTATATTACGATGGTGACATCCATTGGAATTGGAATTTGGAAGTTCTATTAGAAGAATTGGAAGTATAATATTTAATGTGCAACAGAAACTTTCCAATAGAACTTACTATGACAAAGTTAATAATAATTAAAAACGTGTTTGATAATCTAATATCACTTTAACAATTATATAAATTTTATTTATAAAATAACTACGCAGTATGTTATTGCTTGTATAAAATAAATAAATAAATAAATAAGGCGGCTGTTCCCAATTTTGTTATTCTTGTGCGACTGGATGATCACAGGTTTAAGCTTTTAAATTTACTGCGCCATTCATTCGATTAGAAGTTCGATATAATAACATAAAAAGTCAAAAAAACATTGTTAATAATTATATTTGAATTCCTTTAGATGTTATGTTAAGCATTAATTTTTATTTTTTACAAGAGCATAAAAAGGAATATTAAAGCATATATTGTATTGTTGTAAAAATAAACTAAATACTGTATTTCTAGTTTCTCTTTAGTAGATAAGTGCAAGAATTATGTGTGAGGAATGTAGGGAATTGAGTCGACCAATTCAAAATCGATCAACATATAATCGAATAAATTTGAAACACGTAAAATCTATTATATAATACTCGAATAAAATAAATCGATTAAAATATTAATCATGCTTTAACGATAAATTGGTTAAATAAACGTGATAAAATCTTAAAATAGCAACTTTGCTAATTTTTCTTTGTAACAAGTAAGAAAGTTTCTTTCTTTTACACTCTCTGCTTATAGTATTAATAAACTCTTTTAACGTAAATAATGCCTCCAAAACGTGCAAATAGTTCCACTGAATCTTTACACACACAAGTGATATTACAGACGAACAAGAACCACAAATTATACCAAAAACTGCAATAAAACCAGTTGGGTGTGGGATATCACTTTGTGGAGAAAACAGACGGGCGTGTGTATTATCAATATATATTATAAATAAATAATGCGAAAGTATAAAATTGCATAAAATTTATATAATCTATTATATTTATTTTATTAATTTTTAGTTTACTAATAAAATACTAATTATTTATGACATTTAATCGATTAATCGATTTTATTAGATCGAGTGTACTTAATCGAACTTTAATCGATTACAGCTTGTTAGTCGATTTTGGTCGATCTTGCCTAAAAATTTTAACCAATTAATCGAACAATGATTTTGGGTGTTGACTCAATTCCCTAATTTTCTCACTCTTTGACCCACTAACTCGAATTCAAAAAGGTCTCTTCTAGTTGTTCAACTTTTATTTTTCAAGTGAATGGCGCAGAAATATTAATAAATAAAATTATCCCATCACATGATCTATTACAGGAAGTGGAATATATCTGAAAAATTCATTTTTTGATGATTTTCACGTTATGCAAGGAAGGGATAGTTTGAAGAAAAACTATAGATAATATTATAAATTTAACAAATAATGAATTAAAAGTGAAGTTCAGAAATGTCAATAAATTCGTAATAATGAATGTTTAGGACAACGAAGTTCTTAAAGAATCTGCAGACTTCCATTTTACCGACATGAAAATTACCATTTCACCGAAAATTATTTAATTATTGTAAGGTCCAGGAAAGGTCAACCGGGTATACTTGGTATTTAATGTTGCAAGACCATTGAATGTATCAAACATAACAAGCAACTTGAGAATCTTGTCCATGGATCAACACACGTTTCATTTTTCCCATCTGACATTTATACTATATATAACGATCAGAGGTTAAAATTTGATTAATAATTTACTAAATATGAATAATTTAAACAAATAAATTTATACATATTTAAAAGACTCTACACTAGTATTAATTTTTGAAACAAATTCACTGAATTATTTTAAAGCGAGAACACATTTTGATATTGGTACGGGTGAGAAATCATTGTTTGGGAGCTACATTTAAGAAGTATTAGATGATAATGTTCGATAATAAAGTGTACAAAATGACATATTTATACGAGCTTTTTCTTTAAATACTGCGGGTGTTTCATAATCTAGTCCAATTATTGTTGTATCTATGCCTCATTATTTAGCCATAAAAGGTTCTAACTTTTGGATTTGCTATATCTAAAGGACATCATCGTTTTGGTGTTCATTAATACGCTAATCACACTCGTTACATACTTATTTGTTCTCGATTACTAATTTTAGAAAACTTTATTTAGGTGCTACCGTAAGAGAAAATTACAAGATGAGAACAATACATTTATGCAATTTTTGAATGATAATCATGCTGATTCATGTATCCTCGACTCATGCAACTACTGTTTCATAACATATTGTCAATACTGATATTACTAGTGAATTTGAAAACTTTTTCTCGAAGTTTCAGAAATTACAAAAAGTTCAATAATATATAATTACATATTAATTTATTTTTAATTTCGTTGATATCAACCCTTTTTTTTAATTGATCTAAAAATTTTACGAACAAATAAATCTTTTAATTTAATTTGTTATGTAAAAGGTAATTTCCAAATGTAAGATAAAAAAAAGGAAATTGCTAGATCTCGTATGTGATATTCAATAAATGTAACATCATCTTATTTGTGCTTTCTTTGATAAAAATAATCTTTGAAATTGTAGGAACGATTTTCTTTTTTTTTCTTGTTAATATATGAATTCTCTTAAAAATATATACATTCTTTTTTCATTCAAAGACGATGAATTTGGTAACTATTAGTTATAATTAGTTATATTATTCATTATTAACACTTGATTTACTTTACAAGACTAACTATTTAAGAGTAAAAAAGCTAATACAATCTAAAATAAATGACCATATAATTACTGATTACTAAAATTACAGATATAATTTATCATATTTCCTTTAAAAATAAATAATGGTAAAGTCAGAATCATAGATGGGCTTCACCAATGGCCTTTTCTTTTTCGTCATTGCCATCTTTATTAATATTATTAATATTATTATTAATATTATTATTATTATTATTAATATTAATATTATTATTATTATTATTATTATTATTATTATTATTATTAATATTAATATTATTATTATTATATCTTCTTTTGATAAATATAAATGTGACTACAATTATTGCAGAAATTCCAATACTCGAACCGATTATTAAACCAAGAAGAAGAGGAGATGGGGATCGAGGAGGTGGAGGGGATGGAAGAGGTGAAGGAGATGGAGGAGGAACTTCATGTATACTTAGAGCCCAAATGCCTCCACAAATCTGAGAATTATTACCCGGACAACTAGCTCTACAATGTTCTGAACCTATGAGTCGATTTATGCTGTCATAGGAATTGCCACAAAAACATTGAGTTCTTGCTTCAAGTCCAGCATATTTATAATTATCTTTACGACAATTATCTATACAATCATCAATTGTCATAGATTCAGATGACAAACAACTATTGCTTAAGACTCTTTTATTGCAAAATCTATCATCCTGAATGCATCCTTTGTAGTAAGGATACATTTTTTTATCCTTATCAATATTGTACATAATATTGAGTTTTTCCTCAATAGTAATATTGTAAGGTGGAGTGTAATCTTGTATTTCGGCTTTATATACTGTATAAGCTCCCTTTCCGCCACATGGATAAGTCACTGGACCGGTTAAAGTATTAGAAGTACACAATAAATTGCACGTATTGTTGTCATCAACCTTTGTATAAGATTGAAGAGCATCTGCATATCCACAACGACAGTTAACACCATTCTCCACAGCGGCATAATTAAACTTAAGATCTATACAAGTTTTAAGGCAAAATCCTACAATATGGTAATTTTGAGTAGTGTAAGGATCAGGGAATATTAAACCAGATCTGCTCGGGCTTTCTAACATTGCAAGACCGTTGAATTTATCATAAGTAGAATTGTTACGAACAAAACACCCTATTGGAGTGACTTGAGGATCTTGTCTGAGAATCTCCCCATTTTCATCGCATTTGTCAATACATGCCATAATAATATAGTTATGTAACTTAAGAATTAAAAAAAAATAGAAAAAAAAATTATTGTTTGTTTTTCATTAATTTTGAAGAAACTTTTTTGATACTATTAAGATAGAATTTAATTGCATCACCGAACTATTTATAAGTTTCTTTTATAAACAAAATATTTTCTTTGTAAATTTATTTATATCGTACAAGTTTTATTACACGAAGCAATCCCGCTAAATTTAATCCGTACAATGTATTTCATGTTTTCATAAACAAAATTAAGGTTGCCCCTGGATTTAGCATCTAATCTAAATAATATCATCTTGAACAATTTAATTTCTCTTTCATTTAATCAATTCTATATTACAATGGTGACATCCATTGGAATTAGAAGTTCTATTAGAAAGAATTGGAAGTACAATGTTTTGGTGTGCATCAGAAACTTTCCAATAGAAACTTACTATATTTTCTACCACCAAAGTTAATAATAACTAAAAACATGTTTGATAATCTAATATTCTTTCTATCAATGAAATATCTAGAAATTATATAAATTTTATTTATAGAATAATTACACAGTATGATATTGCTTGCATAAAAAAACAAATAAAAAAATAAATAAGGCGGGCTGTTCCCACTTTTATTATTTCCTTGTTTGTAAATTATGCGATTATCGATGATCTAAGCTTGTTAATTTACTGTGCCATTCATTCGATTAAAATAACATAGAAGTTCGATATATTAACATAAAAAAAGACAAAAAAACATTATTAATAATTATATTTGAATTCCTTTAGATTTTATGTTAAGCATTAATTTTTATTTTTACAAGAGCATAAAAAGGAATATTAAAGAATATATTGTATTGTTGTAAAAATAAATAAACTAAATACTGTATTTCTAGTTACTCTTTAGTTGATAAGTGCAAGAATTATGTGTGAGGAATGTATTTTCTCACTCTTTGACCCACTAACTTGAATTCAAAAAGATCTCTTCTAGTTATTCAATTTTTATTTTTCAGTTATACAAGGAAGGGGTAGTTTGAAGAAAAACTATAGATAATATTATAAATTTAACAAATATATAATGAATTAAAAGTGAAATTTAGAAAAGTCAATAAATTTGTAATAATGAATGTTAAGAACAGCGAAGTTCTTAAAGAATCTGAATAATTTAAAGATTCCAAATTTTCAAAAAGTATGTGATTATGTTTACGGTACGAATTACAGACAGTCATTTCACCATTTTACAGACTTCCATTTTACCGACATGAAAAATTACCATTTCACCGAAAATTATTTAAATAAAGTATCCCACATTTGATTATTGTAAGGATCAGGAAATGTCAAACCGGGTCTACTTGGATTATTTAATGTTGCAAGACCATTGAACGTAAACAACCATATGTATATATCATTTACACATGACTCAACACACATTTCATTTTTCCCGTCTGACATAATGAATCGATTTATACTATATGATGGCCTGAGCTTGAAATAATTTGAATATAAATAATTTAATATATTTAGAGTTTTAGACTAGTCACAAAATTCTCTGAATTATTTTAAAGAGAGAACTAATTCTTTAAAAAACATTTGATATTGGTACGGCCGAGAAATCATTATTTGGGAGCTACAGTGCCCGGAAAAAAGTCAGTAACCACGTAAAAAATTAGCAATTAGTTAGTGAAGTTTACCACTAAGTAAACTTTTTTTTCATAATAAATAAATCGCCTTTCATAGATTAAGTAATATTGTGCGTCATAATGAATTACATTTATCCTAGAATTTTTAAGCTAATTAAATTCAAAATGAATTATATAGTGCAATTTTTATTTGAAAATTTTGTATTTTTATAATAAATTTTCAATTATAAATAACTGTTAAATTTTTTAGTCTTAATATGTTGTGATTAATTAAGAAAATTTGTTGGCCATGTTAAAAAACATGGGTCCTTAAAATTTCAGGTTAACTGGATTTAAGTTCGCATGCAAAATTTCGTGATGAATCACGTGATTGAAGATCATTTCTATTTATTTATAGCTTGTTTGTCGATCATTTATTAAGTAAATTTATGTCTCCGTACATTTCAAACTTCTTATTGAAAGAATGTCAGCAAAATTTAAAAAAAATTTATAGATTTTAAGTGCAAGTTTTATAAAATAACAAAGATAATCAGTAACTAATTACATGATCGATTGTAAAATTTTGTAATTAAGTCAAGCAAACCTTAGTAAGTATGAATCCGATTAATCTTAAATTTTAAAGAACCATGTTTTTTAACATAACCAACAAGTTTTCTTATTCGATTAGAATACTTCAAGACCAAAAAATTTAATGATTAATTATAACCAAAAATTTTGTTAAAAACACTGAAATATATGGACTAAAATTGTAATAAATAACTCAATATAGATCAAATTAATACGAAATTTTCAGGATATATATAATTCATTATAATACACAGCTTTACTTATTTCATAAAGAGTAATTTTATTAGTATAAAAAAAAGTTTACTTAATAGTAAACTTTGTTAATTAATTGCTAATTTTTTAATTGCTTACTGACTTTTTTCTGGGCACTGTACATTTAAGAAGTATTTTGATAAAATAAGGTGTAAAAAAATGACTTTTTCTTTAAATACTGCGGGTGTTTCATAATCTAGTCCAATTATTGTTGTCAGAAAGCTTTATTTATGTAAGAAAATTACAATATGAGACAAACTACATATACCTGATACAGTATGTAATTTTTGAATGATTCTAGAATCTTGCGACTCAATGCAGCCACTATTTCATCAAAAAAAAGGTACTGACATCACATAGTAAATGCAAAGGCTTTTCTCAAAGTTTCAGCAATTACAACAAGTTCAATTATACATATAAATTTATATTTAATTTCGTGATATCAACCCTTTTTTTCATTGATCTAAAATTTAGAGTTCCAATCCGTCACCCGACGGATAATCATATTTTGACAGTTGTACGCTCGTTTAATTAATATAAACGGATTAAAATATTATCTGACGGATGAAAATTTCAATCCGACTAAGATTTCACCCCATTTATTTTATGTTCAATTAATTAAATAATGCATAGTCTGATCACCTTTACATCCCCATTTATTTTATGTTCAATTAATTACCTTACATCGAATGCAGTTCCTTATGTATAAATTATGAAATATAAATGTCTCTCTCCAAAAATAAATGAGAAGAGATTGATCATCCGTCGGATGTCGGATTGGAACTTTAATCTAAATTTCACGAATAAATAAATTCTTTAATTTGTTATGTAAAAGGTTATTCCCAAATGTAAGATAAAATGTAAGATAAAAAACTAAAATCTTTTATTTGTTACATATCTGCATTCTTTGATAGAAAATAATCTTTGATAATGTAGAAACGATCTTCTTTTTTTTCTTGTTAATATATGAATTCTCTTAAAAATATATACAACATTGCGGCGGATTTATGAAATTTGGCAAAAACCCTGCTGTGCACTTGGGAATTAAAATTGACATTAAGCTTTTTTCCTAAAAAATGTCAAATAATGACGCGCTTTTAACCCTGGAAAAATTGGTTAGGTAATGGGAAAATTGGTTAGACGCAAGTTTTGGGGTACAAAAAAATTTTTAGAGCTCATTTTGACTGTTCACTAATAAATTTGGGACTTAAATAGAAATTTGGTTACCTAAAACACTATCAAATATTTATTAATTTGACATGACGCACAAATTTTGGGGGTATTTCATAAATCCGCCATGATATATACATATGTTATATATATTATTCAACCTTTGGACGATGAATTTGGTAACTCAATTATATTATTCACTATTCTACACTTTATTATATATAGATAATTTGATTTATTTTACAATAAATGAAATGATTAACAAAAAACTAATAACTGAAAAATCTAAAATGATGACTGAAATTATATATATAATTTATCATTATTTCCTTTAAAAATGAATAATGATAAAGTCAGAATCATCGATAGGCTTTAACTTTATTATTTTCAAATTTGATTGTATTTATTTTAACTCGTTCAAGTTGTAGCTTAATTTTAAGCTATTTTACACATAAATTTATAATATCATTTTTATATCTAAATTTGTACTAAATAGGTCTAAATATTTTACATAGAGTCATATTAAATAAATTATTTATTGCATAATATTGCATAAATATCTTTGATATTTTTGACAAATTATGTCATTTGGATTAAATATCACATATATTAATCTTTATAGGTTAAATACTGCTAATAAATAAGCTATATGGAACATAATAACACAGCTATTTGGGTGGTTAAAATATCATCCGAACTGCTTCGCATTTCGGTGATACCCCTACCCAATAGCTATTATTTATAAATTCGTACTTGTTCTTATATAATTAAATTAAACATGATCATGCAAATTTGCATCTAATTCAATTCGATGAACAGAAATCATTGACTTCAAGAACCTTGGTTGCGTGGTCAACAGGGTTCATCTATCCTTTCATCAACTTCGGATTGTGGTTGAATTTTTTTCTCGATATTTCTTTGGTTTTCGTTCTTCTGAATATAATATGGGGTGTAAAAGAATAATTAAAAAATTGTAACGAGGACTTCGTTACCACCAACGACTGTTCCATTGCTTAGCCTGAGTTGTATATCCTTGATATAGTATTGTCCTTGTCGTCAATGTTACGAATTTCTTTAGAAAGAACGATTAAGATCATCCCACTAAACGTAAAATATTGTAATAATAGTTAGTTAAATAATTATATGACTAATAACCAACGGATACATCTTACTTGGTATAAATATGGAATGACCACTGTTCTAAAGTTTTTATTTCAATGGTCAACATTTTGTTGGCGAAACAGGGTTATTATTTAATATTGGTTTGTATGAGGAAAACTTTTTACAAATCTTTGGAAGTTACATAGAGAATTACGTTCTTCAGAATAATCTTTTGTAGAATCAAGAAAGTCCAGAATATACTGTTAATCTTAATAAATATCCTTCCAAGTAATAACAAATGAGATAAAATTTGTATTTTACCTTCATCAAATAAACGTAGTTGAGTGGCAAAGTATTTACTGAGAGTATATAACACCGCTTTCAGAATCCCGACTTCGATTTATTTTTTGTCTAAATGGATTCCATTTCTCATGATTTTCCCATGAATTTTTCGCTGTTTTCAATTTAGTGCGACCTCCAATAAAATTAGCTGTATCACATGATTAATTTCGAACGAAAAAAAAAAGAAAAAAGTATAATTTTAAAATTTAATAACTATGTTTCCTGTGATTCAATTTAAATAATTTTTAATATTCTAAAAGAACAAACAAAGCTTGTCCTAATACTTAAAATCTGACATGACTATACATAGTTATAACCATCTAAATATACATAATACTAATTAAAGTATAAATTATGTGAAATGTATAGTTTATTTAATTAAACTTAAACCTATTAAAATATAAACAAAAAAATACTTAATCAACACTTGTTTAGCTTTATATAATTAAATAAAAGTAATGTTTTTGTTTGAAAGTATAACTTTTAAGACAACTTTTGCATAAAAAGAAAATCGAAATCTGTAAAACTTCATAACTTGAAAAACAACTCTTACCTGGTAAATATCATACTTATAACCTTGCAAGTATATAGTTTGTCATAAAAAGTTTACAAAATCATGGGAAATTTGCGAGAAATAAACTTAACAAGAAACTTTTATTAGAAGCAATTGAAAAAAAAATGGAGGAAATCGGGAAATCAAATTAGATTTACATCTGGTTACACAATTATGAGACGCACTAAATTGAAAAAGGCGATATGAACAAACTTCTGCTGGTTTAGGAAGTAGTAGTAATAGTGATAGAACAAATTGGGATAATGATAATTACGATGCATAAGCACATCATAAACACATGAACACCCGCAGATATTATTTTATATATATATATTATATATATATTTTTTTCAATTGACAACAGATAATGATAATATCTCCGCAGACATGAAAAATATAAAAAGACTAAAGAACTTTTATTTATCTCTTACTGTCAAAAACGATTTAGAGAATTTCCCCAACAGTTGCTTCATAGTTAAGAAAAAGTCGAATACTTTTGTTTTATCACGTTAGTCGTAACTAATGTTCTTATTGTTTTTTTAATAGTTAGGAAATGAGTTCGGTACTAAGGGAAGATTATTATTGTACACTTCTGAGTGAGGATGAAAAAGATGAAAATGATGAATTGTTATCTGATTGCTGTATCAACGAATTTGGAAAACTTTGGAAAAATGGAAGCGTCCCATTCTTTTTCAATGATAATGTAAATGAAGAACTTAAAGATTCTGCGAAAAAAGCAATGGAAAATATTTCTGTTAAATCTGCAATAGAATTCTTGGAGATAACTAAATCAACAAAAGGAACGAATTACATTGAAATTATCAAGGGGCTTGAATTTCTTTCCAATGTTGGTATGCAACATAATGGAAACAAGGTTCGGACTTAATAATTACTATATTCTATCAATAATACCAATCACTATAACCCATTATTATCTCATTCCGCATTATAAGTTATGGGTTGCCGAGGGTTCAGCTTATCCTGTTGGCCAAATTATGCATGAACTGATGCATGCGCTTGGGTTTTACCATGAGCATTCTCGTCCCGACCGAGACGAATATTTGGACGTGAACAATGAAGCTGCTAAAATTGCAAATTATAAGAAGCGTTCAGAATCAAATAGTGTGTGTTATAGTAATACTCTTGATTTCCATTCTATTATGATTTACCGTGAAAATGAGAAAATGACTTTGAAGGAAGGAATAAATTTTAAAATAGGTTTGTATGCCGAAACTATTCTATTTGTTTCATACTACTTCGCATAATAACGAATATTTTCCACAACTCAGGTCAAAGAATAAAATTAAGCGACGGTGATATAAATGCACTTAATAACCTTTACCCTCCAAAAGTAACACTTCTCTCTCGAATTCAAGCGCTTGACAACGATATTCTGATAGTGAAAGAAAGATTGAGTAATTTACCAGTAAATAATAATAACGAAGAGCGTTTAAGATTAAAAAAGGAACATCGAGAACTCCTACAGAGAAAAACGAATTGTAATAAAAAATTACTAAATTACTTTTCCGAACGTAGCGGCCCTATTTTTGCCTGATCTAGGAAGATCAAGAGAGAATTTTTTTTCAAAATTGAGATTTTTATTGTTATAGACTAAATTTTAGCTAAAAAATTCTCTTACCTTGATTTTTCTAGATCAGACCCTTATATTATATGAATTAATTGTTTAACTTTTTACATCACAAATATTTTGCATCATAATAAAAAAAACATATTTACGGATATCCGTTTTTTCGTATGTTGCTACATTATGTAGATAATGTCGTAAGTCCTACCTCTAAAAAGAATAAAAAAAATGAAATCTATCATAAGAATCCATTGTTATCATTTATTGGAAGAAATTTTTTGGATGTTTAACCGAGAAACCATAGAGATGTGTTTTACTTACGGTGTGATTTGTGAGAATACTAGACACTCTACTACTACTCTACTTCATTAATAATATGAGTGTTAAGATTGTCACATTTAGACACATAATCATAACTAATAGTAAAATTCGCATAAACATATTCTTATTCTTTATTTATAGTAAGGTTACTCGTGACTGGGCACAATAAGTGCAATACGAATACATTTTTAACTAGAAGCAAATTTACGTAAAATAACAAACATTTTTTTTAAGTAAATAGTATCTCGAACAACAAACAAATATGTGATTAGCAGACAATCCAAACTACTAAATGATAGCGCATGACTCTATGATAAAAAGATAATCTCTTTCCAGAGATCACATGATTAATTTGTGTACAGACTCCTCACGTGAGTATTAGTTTATCACTATTATAGGACCCCGGATAATTATAATAGAGGTCACATCCGCAGTACTAATTAAAAATCTAATGAAATATACATAAATTTTGCCGTTTTGATATACATTTTTATCATATGACCTTATTTTGTACTACAAATATCCTTTTTTATCATATGACATCAATTTACTAAAAAATAGGTCAAAATTTTATTTTATATTAAAATTATACAGCATTATCATCAATTGACTCTGTAGAAATAATCAACTGTAATTTATCTATAGCTGAATTAAAAATTATAGATTATCATTTCTTTTTTTCCTACAAATTAAAAATCCCATATTTTCAGTGAAATTTTCGCAATTTCCCAAAAATTCATTAATTTTAAAATCATAGCTAGTCTAAATTGTAATGCTAAGGTTTAATAAACAACCCCCATTAGAAAAGACAGCTGCGGAAGTTAAATGTGAATATTGCAAATGAAGGATCTTTTCAGCAGTATTATCAATTCTGGCTAACGGTGGAAGAGTCTCATAAGGAGTATCAAAAGTAATAAAAAAGATATCAGATATATTAATATTTGAAACATAAACAGAATGAATATTAGGAGGTGGAATTGTAGAAAGTATTAATGTTTAAAAGTTTCTCAAGATATTTCATTTTGTATTGATATATAATGACATTAAAGACAAAAATTAAAACACGAAAACGAGTATCTTAAGTCTTAACATTTTAAAAATAATTAATGGTAAATCATATTGAATCTCTGGTAAATTTATCTGACATGAAAAGCAAATAAATTTAATAAATTTAAATAATTATATTACATTGTGATAAAAAATGAACTTTTTGAATATAAATTTATTACGTTATCATTATGATAAAATTATCTCAAACAAAATTTGCTATTTATATTAAATTTGATGTAACACTACTGCATATTATATTCCCCACTATATTCCCCCTAAAATATACGCTTTATTAGAAAAATTACATGTGACCTTAAAATTTTACATAAAATTATATACTTATTTTACTGTGACCTAATTCAGAAGTATTCTATTTTTGCATGTGACTTTTACTTAAAATACCCGCTTTTGCATATGACCTTTTCATTAAAAATACAATAAAATATACTTTTTTTGTATATGACCTTTATTATAATTATCCGGGGTCCTACTATTATATATATATAATCGGACTTCACTAACTACTTTAGTTTATATTAGTAACGACCTGGAACGAATCATCCTACGTTGAAAATTGATAACATATATATATCGAGAAACGTGGAGATCTGCGATCCCAAATTTTATATACTATTAGTTTACTGTACATATATTCACCTTTACGGCTTTACCTGTTAAAATCATTGTATAACAAAAAATGCAAAACCAAAGAAATCTACCTGATCACGAAATCCGTTCCTTCGCCATTACATGTGCGTTAGAAAAGTCACAGCATTATACAAAATACTTTTATTTTTGCATATTTAATACTTTATTACATGATATCCAAGGGACTCACTTCACGTATCACGTAAATACAAAAAATCACACGAGACAGTATACAGTATATGTAACTTATAATAACATATTCTTCCTTTTCACGTAGAGACACATTTGACAGATGGGTTTGAGTATAGAGATGGTTTTATATCCCTTCGAAGTTATGTATTGTTGCAATAATCACAATAAACGTGATTATGAGTATCAGATGTAGACTTGGGATGATTATACTTGCTATACTTTTGCTATCTGTACTTTTTTTATGATCAATCGGAACAATTACGCAGTTATCCGTATATGTGTCTGAATCTTAGCCTTCTTGGAAAAGTTTTTATCTGCCATTAATATCTCTTTAGAAAATGCTAGCCCAGTTGCGTTCGAACCAACTTCTCTTTCGTTACCACTACGTCCATCTTCGTCGGAGTTCAATATATCTTTCACTTCTCGTATGAGCAAATTCAGCTCCCTAGCGTAACACCAAAAAATCAATAGCACATGATTTATTTGCTGATCATGCCTAAAATGGTAAAGACTTCGTCACGTGACATCATCACGTGCTGTAGTAACATCCTTGCGTAGAATTATATAGTTCTTCGTTAAAAAAAAGTCAAAAGATGAATAAAGTGAATTAAAAATGTAAGGATTATCAACTTAAAGAAATTATTTTCCTAGCTCACTCAACATTTTTGCATTACTAAGAAAGAAAAAATTTTATTTATTATTACCCATGAGCTAGCCATAAAAATTAGAAAGTTCAGTTAGATGCTGTCAAGAATAGGGTTAAGGAAAAATTTATATAATAAAAAAATATCATGCTTAGAGTGAGTTTTAAAGATAATAATACTGTTCAATTTGGCGAATTTGGCGGATAATCAATGTACATTTTAGGATAATGCTCTTGCAGCGCATACAATGGAATTATTTTTCACGTGTTTATGATGGTTCAATTGACTCATTAAAACTATAATTTAGATTTTATTTTTACCATATTTAATATTAAATATTCCTAAAGCTATCATAATTAAATTGCTTGTACTACAATACTGGAAATAAAATAACTGGTGCAAATTCATAAAGTCAAAAAAATACTCGTGAAATCATTCATGCAGCTCTTTTCTATATTTCTCATCAGTCTTCTCAGTCTCTTTAGTTTTACAACGCCTATTATACACTATTATAACTATAATAAGAATGGCAATTAAAAATACTGGAATACAAACACCCAACACAATTTTTAAAGTGAGAGTAAAATTTAAAAGTGAGGGAGGAATTGGAGAAGGGGTTGGAGAAGTGTTTGGAGGAATGGCTGAAATTTCATATAAGCTTAAAGTCCAAACGCTTCCACATAACTAAGAATTATCATCTGGACAACTAGCACTGCAATAATCTGAGCCTTGATTTCTTCCTATAGGACTATAAGAATTTCCACAAAATCATTGGGTTCTTGCTTCAAGTCCAGCGTATTTATAATTACCTTCACGGCAATTATCAAAACATTCATCAATTGTCATAGATTCATCAGATGATGTACACTTATCTCCTAACATCCTTTGTAGCGAGAATATTTAATTTTATCCTTATTAACATTATGCATTATATCGAGTTTCTCTTCAAGAGTGATATTGTAAGGTGGAGTGTAATTTAAATGCACTGCTACTTTATAAACTGTGTAAGCATCTTTCCCTCCACATGGATAAGTTACATTGCCAGTAAAGGTAGCAGTGGTACAGTACATATTACACTTTTTGTCATCATCCTTAATATAAGACTGAAGAGCATTTGCATATCCATAGCGGCAGTTGACACCACCCTCCAAAGCTCCATAATTAAATTTAAAATCTATACAACGTTTCAAACAATGACCCAAATTCATTCTAATTTGATAGGTGTAAGGGTCATTAAATACTAAACCAGGTCTTTTTGGGCTGTTCAACGTTGCAAGACCATTAAAAGTGTCAATAACAGAACTATTATCAAAAACATAACATCCTAATGGAGTAACTTGAGGATCTTGATAAAGAATGTTCCCATTTTCATCACATGAGTCACACGCTTCATTTGCCATAATAAATCAAGCACAGTATATTATAAAACATCCAGGTGAATTAAATTTTATTTTCTAAGCTAATTAACAAATTGTAAAAAGCTTTCTGAAACCATCAATAAATTTCCTGTCAAATTCCTTAAATACATTTATAAAATTTGATATCAAGAGTTATACAAAAAGTTAATTTAAGAATGGTTGATATCAATTGAGGTAGCATTGTACAAAATAAATGTAACCCTGAAACATTAAGGTTTGAACATGATTTAAAAAATTTTAATTTATTGTTAATAATATGACTAATTGAGATCATTATAATATCTAAAATGGTAATCAAATGGTAATTGGTATATTTTATATGAGAGCTTTCATTAGAAATGCCCCATAGAATAAGTTTATACTTCAAACATTTCAGGAGTGAGATTACTTTAGATCATATGCAGTATACATAAATACTTTTTAGAAGATTTAACAAATATGAACGATCTTCTGACTTTCGATAATGGCATCGAACTCTATTGTGCGCATCTAGAATGACGATCTATTTGTATGACAAAAGCAGTTTTCATTCTTGAAGTTCTAAATTGAATAGGTACTTTTTTTTAGTACCCTTTTTGATAGAAAATATTCTGATAAAAAGAATAATAATTTTAAGTACCACTAAGCAAGAGGAAATTAATAATAGTATTTATATATAAATATAATTTCTCATTACGTAATGTAAGTTATTTTTTTTAACAAAATAAATTTCAATTAAGGAAATAAAACGGCATACTTTCTTTTTCATGAATGCAAAAAATCATGATGCTAAAGACTTTCGCAATTTTAACAGTACGATATCTAATGAGTTTTAATAAGACATAAATCTTACATCCCAATTTCCCATATCAACCTTCTTTTTAATTTATTCTTTAATAACTTTATTAGGTAAAAAAAAAAGATATGGCAGTTTTTCGAATTTTGAATTAAAAAACATTATTTCCAATTTCATTCACTGTTGTATCTTAATTCGGTACCACATCGCCCTAATAAATAAAAAAAATGAGTTACGCGCAACAAATTTAAGACACTAGTAGAGCATGTAATGATGATCAATCAGAAAAATTTTGATTGGCCTTCAAATGATAGTTGGTGTGTGATCATCAGATGACTCAATTTGAGTCAGTTCGGGGTTAGGAGTTCCTAAGAACGATTTTTATGATTAAAAGTAGTTTTAAGCCCAAGAGATCCAGAATCTTTTAAATTTAAGATCGGTTCCAGAATTGACTCGAGTCGACTCATTTTGAACCGATTCCATCCCTAAGTATTTATCATTAATAAAAAAAAAAAATTTTTTTTACCTTAACTGTTACTTTGATAATTTTTTCAGTAATGACATATCACTAGTGTATACAAATTTACTTTTACATTATTATTTTTTTTTCCTTAAATCAATGAAAAAGTTAACTATTTTACAATCTAAGATAACTAGTGATAATCATCGTTGGGCTTCATCAAAATTATCATCATGAGTTAAACGTCTTTTAAAAATAAAACTGCAACAATTGCAATTATAAACGTAGGATTTCCAACACCAAAACCAATTTGTCATACAAACTTAGACCCCAAGAGCCCTGCACAACTGAGAGTTGTTTCACTTGTTTCCGGGACAACTGCTGACAAGATCCTGAACTTAATTGCCGTCCCATACTACTATAATAGGCGTTCCCACAAGAACATTGAGTTCTTGCTTAAAGCCCAGCATATTTATAATTACCTTCACGGCAATAATCTATGCATTTATCAACTGTCATAGTTTCGGTTGATAAGCGTTTATCACCCAAGATCCTTTTACCACAAGCCTAATTATCTTCATGAATTTCCGCTTTATAAACCGTATACACATGAGTAAGTTACATTATTGCCGCTTAGAGTAGTAGTTGTGAAGTAGATATTACAATTTTTTTCACCCACCTTAATATAAGATTGAAGGGCATTTGCACGCTCACAATGGCAGTTAATACCACCCGTAATCGAATTTAAAATCTATGCAAACCTTAAGGCAATGGCCTACATTCGTTCGATTTTGATTAGTATAGGAATCTTTAAATATTAGCTCAGGTCTTTTTGGGCTGTTCAATTTTCAAGACCATTGAATGTATCAATAGTAGAACCATTATTGAAAATATAACACTCTTTTGGAATAACTTGAGGTTCTTGTCGAAGAATATTACCATTTTCATCACATGAATCGCATGTTTCATTTGCCATAATAAACAGTATGTAATGTGATTTAATAAGATAATAAAAAAAAGGTGGAGATTAAATATACGAATAATAAAAGGTTTATTAACTGAACTGTTTATTTTTAAATTAAGTAAAAAAAAAAAACTTTTGGTACTATAGTATTAAGAAAGAAAACGATTTATATTGTTCCTTAAATATTTAAGATTCAAAGTTTAACGCGTATAGATAACACTCTAGTAAATTTAGGAATAATAATAAAATAAGATTTCTATATGAATTCATTCTTGTTCACTCCCGCTAAAGTGTATGATTTAGATGTGATATGATAGGATAACTGAAAAAAAAAAATAGACGTATAAATTTAAAACAACAAAGTTTGATTTTTTTATTTCTAATAGGATTTTATAATGAATTGACTGAATTAGATATGGAAATAATAAATGATATCATGCACATCTCAGGAGTAAGAAAAGAAGTTTACTAATCTTGACTTAAATTATATGAACAAAATCAGAGTTACCCGAAAACTTTCATTTCATGATAACTTTCTTCTTTCATTCGATTAAACCTATTCATAATCGTATGAAAAGTTACTAAATTTAAATCTTTTTTTTTTAATATATATATATATTTATTTAATTAAAATACTCGTTCTGTTAATACACTAACTTTAGAAAAGCGAGAAAAGATCTGGGCGAATTACAAGTTACCAATTTTAGAAATTTGTGATTTTCAAATGATAAATATTATCATGTATCTTGTTATTTATTAAAAATAAAAATGCTGTTGTAATGAAAAAAAATAAATTTGGTATCATAAATTAAAAATTAACTAAAAATATAAGCAACTTGGATAATATCTATATTTTGAAGTTATAAATTATGAAGCGGAGAAATAAAAGATGCTGGGACTTGCATAGTTAATTCTCCCTTGTTTGATTTAGAAATTTTTTAGTGGGAAAAATCCAATGTACATCACAGCCGAATGTCATAATTCTCAGCTATTTCGGAACATTTTTTCGTGGTCACGCTAGGTAGTCACAAAAAGAAATAATGTTGGAAACTTTACAAATAAACAAATATAAAAAACTTACTTTTAAATTAAAGTGTAAATAGTTATTTACGCATAATTTTTTTTAATTGTCAAAACAATTTTAAAAAGTTTGATCGTGACTTATTAATGTTTTTTTTCTACGCACAATTTTGAAAACCAACTACAAAATTCAGATCAATTACAAAATTCAGTTTTAATTTATGAATTAAATTTTTGATAATATTTATCAAAAGAAATTCAAAATCATATAAAAATTATTATTGACCTATAATTGTTGTCCCTAGAATTGATAATAATACCAACGAGAAATAATTATTTTATTAAGTTGGTACCACTCACTTCTTTGATATTGTCTCTATATTTTAATTATTTTGATTAATAAATTTTCTTTATAAAAATAAACAAATTAATTACTGTATAGCACAGACTCATTTTGGCGTACCCTTATACAGTCAAACTTTTATATAACGATATGTCGGGATAAATATGAAATTTTTTAGAAAATATCGTTATATCAAAGTTATACCGATATTTATATGTCGTCATCACTAATTTACTAATTTGAAAAAAAAAACAATAGTAGCGTTTTTTTATAGCTTTTAGCCTTTTTTAGCCTTTTATATTTTGTATTAATATTGAATTATTGAATAATTGATAATCAATATAGGCGCGCTGCGCACACGATTTTCTGATTGGATGTATCACGTGGTCGGGCTGTGGCGCAATGTAAATATATTACTTTTCACACACAACAATATGCCAAAAAAAGATAGAAAAAAAATCTATTAGAAAACTGAAAAATTTCGTAGACGTCAAGAGCTTCGAAGCTTATTACGTTCCGACCGTTACAAACGTTAAGTAAGTGTCGTCGTCTGGTGGTTACCATAGGGCTGATGTACTTAGATATTATAGTCTTCGCGAAAAGCTGTTTTGCAGGGGGAAGTTGTTGTATACGAGCGGAGTGCCATAGAAGTTACTATTTATAATAGTCATGGCAATGGTGAGGGTTATCCCGAGGGTCTTTATGATGGAATAGTGCGGTTATGCCCAAACCTAAGCGAGTTACTCATATCTTCGTATCTTGTAGACAAACTGTAATCTTTCGCTCACTTGGCTGGTCTAATCTCCTTTTATTATTTTTATTATTATATCCTCTTTTGTAGTTCTATCCAAGGCCACAATATTCATACAATAAAAATGGACGAATTAAATGATATCATTTTAATCGAGTTTTGAGATTGAACTGAGTTCTATGATCATGTGATTTACTAATAAAACATGAGCAATAATTTTTTGCTTATATTTATATATGCATTGTTTTTATAAATGCACAAAATATGTTATATTAACATAATCGGATTTAAAATAAATTGTTTGAATAAGCAAATTTATTAAAATATATATATATAAACAGTTCAAAGCATGTTTTAAAATCCGAAGCTTTATAGATGAGTTTGAACTAGATTCAAATTGGTTTGGAATCTGAACCGAACTGCTTAAGCAACCCAACATCCCTATAATAATAAATAATGATTTCCCTATATACTTTCGGTATATTACTTGTAAAACCTTATTTTTTCCACATTTCAACTGATAATTTAATTAAACATATATTATTTTCAAATTATTGATAACAGCTTTCAAAATTTATTTTTAATTATTTATTATTAAAATAAAAAAAAATCGTATTAATAATATTATTTAACCTCTAATTTATTCATAAATAATTTTCAGAATTTTTTTTATAAACGATATTTAAATTTGATATTAAATGTAAATTTTGATTGAAAATGTATATTAAAAATGGCGATTATTAGGATTATTGGGATCATCAGGATCATCAGACGACTGACTACATATTTTAATTTTTTTAGTATATACTAAAAAACCTATTACACAAATAATTAACAAAGGAAGGCCAACACTCAAACCAATTATTAAAGGAAGATTATTTGAATTATTTAAATTTGAAAGAGGTGGAACTTCATATATACTTAGGGCAAAAGAACCTCCACATAATTGATAATTATTGCCTGGACAACTATTACTACAATATTCTGATCCTAATAATCGTCCTAAAGGATTATATGTATTACCACAAAAACACTGAACTCTTGCTTCTAATCCAGCATAGCGATAGTTTCCCTCCCGACAATAATTTATGCATTCTTCAACTGTCATAGTTTCAGTATTTGTACATTTATTGCCCAAAACTCTTTGACCACAATATCTATTATCCTCAATACATCCTCTATAATTAGGATATTTAACCTTATCTTTATCTATATTATTCATTATATTAAGTTTTTCTTCAACCGTGATACCGATTGGAGGGGTAAAATATTGTATTTCCGCTTTGTAAACAGTGTAAGCTCCTAATCCACCACACGGGTAAGTCACATTTCCTTTATAGGTAGCTGTTGTGCATAATTTATTACAAAGTTTATTGTCAGCTTCGATATAAGTTTGAAGAGCATCTGCATATCCACATCTGCAATTAATACCATTCTCTAAAGCCGCATAAGTAAAAAGGTAGTCAATACAATGTTTAATGCAGTGACCTACATTCATAAGATTATGATTTGTGTAAGGATCAGGGAAATTTAAACTTGGTCTGTTTGGACTGTTTAGTGTTGCCAGACCATTGAAAGAATCGGCAATAGAACTAGTATTATAAATAAAACATCCCGTTGGATTAACTTGAGGATCTTGTCTAAGAACCTCACCGTTTGAGTCGCAGCTTTCATTACAAGTTTCTGCCATACTAATGAATTTGATATTATATAACGTCCGAGTATGAATAATAAGAAATATTAAAATAAAAAAAAAGGGAATAAGTCATTAATTTTGGACTGAATTTTATTTTGACATTAACATTAAGAAAGAAAGAAATAAATAAATAAATCCTGAAAGAATTTTTTTCAGTTCCTTAAATACAATAGTTTTAACAAAGATAAAAATAAAACGCATTTAATTCCGTTATTCCGCATTTTTTTCCATAAATGTAGCAAATTACTATCACGAAAGATACCACAATAGATTATATCTGCAGAGTACACGTACTGTACATTTTTTACAATGAGCACCGATGCGACATTTCGTAAAATCCGTTTGTACTCAAAGTTTATTAACTCATTATAAATGTATTACAAATGTTGATTTCATCGTATCATTGTAATGGAATGAACCAACGTGGACATGAGTTCTATATTAATTTTTTTTTTTTTGTAACAGTAAATATTAATAACGACAACAAAACTTAAGATGGTATAATATTGTTTTATTCATATGTTTTACTTAAATATTGTTTTTTCAGTCAATGTCGGTGAAGACCAAATTAGAACATTCCATGTTCAGCCAAATAAAATAGTGTTAAGTGTTTCAAAAAAAACCGGAATTTGATGTGATGATCATTCCAATCACGTGAAATTTTTTTAACTATACGACTATACGTAACTTAATTTAGGCTACAAAAATATTTTTTAATTCGTTTTTCTTTACTAAGAATCAAGAATTTTTAAGTGAATTCTATTTAATAAATTTTTATACTAAATTTCTAAACCAGTAATAAGCATTTGTAGTTGAATTTTTTTCAGGAAGTAAAAAAAAACAACTATGACTCTTAAAAGATATCAAAATATAACTTTAAAATTCAGAATTATTTTGCATTTTAGATAATTCAAATTAGATGATAAATTGAAATTATACCAATTTGAAGAATAATTTTTGATATTTACTTTTTTTATTAAATTCAATCCACCAATAATAATTCACAAATTTGCTTAAAGGCTAAATTTTTCAAATAATAGTAAAATGTTTATGAGACTGTAACCTTTAATGTTCAAGATTATTATGTACTATAGATGAACCAAATTGGGGTGAACTATAAATTTAAATAATTTTCGTAACACACTGTAACATTCAAGTCATTCAATGAGCTCTTAATAAAATAACATGTGCTTGCACATATAGTTTATTCACATATATATTTATGCTTAAAATAGTTTATATATAAAGTTCTTATAATATCATTTGTAATAAAAATTCTTTTTTAAAATTGAATGAAAGTTTCTAAGTATAACGGCTCAAAAAGTCAATTTTAAATGTTACGTTTTATGCATTTAACATTCCATAAAAGGGTTAACTACCTTTCAATACAGATCGGCAAAGAAAGAGTACTGCGTCATTAGATAATACCCACAAATATTTACAATAAGAATCATTAGATCCCAAATATGTATCAACATGATACAAAAGTTTAATTACCTAATTTTGCGAAAATTCTGACCAAAGGATTGCACGACATGAATAGATAATCGTACATTAATTATTTCTAAAATAGGCAGCTTGCAAACGCCATTTTTCCGTATTTAATTTTATTTTATTCTGAAAGGTGATACTTACATCAAATTTGGAGGAAAAAAAAAGCAAAACAACATTATATATATATATTTTTTTTGTAAGTAAATAAGCGAACATTTAAATCATATGTTTTAATGAAGAAATTTTTACAAATTGTTGTTACATTAGGAAAAAAAATCATTTTCTTCGATATCCTTTTTAAAACAAACCCAATAAAAAAAGTATATTATTGAATTTATTAGGTATAATTATAATTGTTGAAAAATATGATTAAAATATTCTCTCTTATAAGATTATATAAAGTGTTGATGTCAGAACCTCGATATAAAGAACCATGTTAAAAACCATGGAATCATCTATGAAGTCTTTCTATTTCATAGTTTCTAAGACTATCTTCAGCTTTACTTATTTCACCGTCATCATTTTTTCTTTCAATAAAGACTACATTCCATAATATTTAGTATAGAAACATTTAAGGTGGTCTTATATATAGAATAATAGAATATGCATTTTTTCCTCCACATGGATAAGAAACCATACCTCCTGTAGTAGTATAATTATATTTGATATTGCATATTTTATCGCTTTCGAACCTTTTCAACCTGAATATAAGATAAGAGTGCATCCATATCCCCACAACGACATTTTACTCCATCTTCTATACCAGCATAGTTAAAGAAGGAGTGATTTTTGGGTCAATTTACACATACTTCTTCACAAAGTCCAGCTTCATTCGACATATTGTAGTATAAATAAAAAAATTGTATTAATATTTATGATAGATGAGATTTTTGATGGGTTACTCTTATTTATAAGTATCAATAATGTTATAACTTTCTTATCGTGTCACAATTGGTACAACTTGATAATAAATCAGTAAACTCAATTCAATCGAACTTTAGTTACATACGATAAAAAATGAATTAGTATGTTTGTATATTGCGCCTTTATATATACAAACAAAATTTAATATACTTATTATCGTAGTATACACTCTTTTAATTAAAAGATTCCATGAAATCTAAATTTTTTATTTTAATATTTATCTGTTATAATATGTAATATTGTTTAGAATAACTTGATTGATGGCATGAGTATGTATATAATTACATTCGTTATTTATTTAATACATAGAATTGTTACTTGGGGGTTGAGTAATTATATTCGTTATGTTATTAATACATAGAATTGTTACTTGAGGGGTTAGGGTAGTAAGAGTAGTTTGGTATTGGGCTTATCTGACGCTGGATATACCTGGCAGTCCCACGAGTTATGTCTCTACTAAAAACTGCAGTCCTAAAAAAGAATTGTTTTAATTAGAAAATGGATTAAAAATTATAAACACACTGTGATCATATCACATTTACTTTTTTTGTTACCTTTTTAACATATTACAGAGATGAAAACATAATTTTAATGTATGATCTTATAGGATATATCCATGTCACAAGAGATTCTTTTAAAATGACAAAAAAGTGAAGGTTTCACTACCAAATTTTAGAAATTAGGGCATGTTAAATCTAAGTCTTTTAGGAAGTTTTTTTACCAAATTAAAAAGTTCATAAGATTTATGTGGAAAATGCATCTTAATCTTTATTAAATATTTAACTAAAACTTTTTTTTTAAAAAAAAAATTTTTTAAATTAAAAATATTTATTAATATTTTTTTTTAATTCTTTAGATTGATTTTTGAAAATTAAAAATAAAATTTTAAACTAATTTAAAACTGCTAATAAATATTATAAGAATATTAGTAGAATTCCAAATATCTAACAAAATTTTTGAAAATATGATACCAGAAGACTATACTTAACAACTTGTTTCGATTTTTTTGAGTTGATTTATATCATGTGATCTGGAATTCAGCCAATAAAAAACTGGAATTTCTTATGTAAAGTACTAGCTTTTGATAATTTTTTATTATAAATAAAATAAAATATAAGAAAATTAACTAACATTTATAAAAGTCATAAATGATAAAATCAAATTATATAACAATTTGGGCTGGTATTATTACAATGCATGAAGTTAGCCTAAATTATCATAAGTTCTGGCCCAACATATTTATTTTAAATTTGGGCCAATTATATGAAAATCATACAATTTTAATTGTTTATAACTTTTTACATAAATCTTCTTTTAAAAATTTGATCTCAAAGAATAAAGTTACAAGTTTATTTTTTTTAATTTGTATTTTTTTAAAGGAGTTAAAAGAGATTTTTTAAATATTATATTTTATTGTCATCTAGCATCATACCTCCATAATACATAATTTTGGTTAGAATTAACATATAAACTTAATATGATATTTGGAATCTTATTAATTCTTTAAAGTATATATAATTTTAATAAATTTATTATATATCTTTAAAAAAGTTTCATTTTATATTTTAGAAATCTATTTTAAAGTTATTTTTTACCTTTAATTTTAATATCTAGTAATATTTTAAGCCTTTGATTTATATATATATATATTTTTATAATATAAGACAAATGCTCTTAATCTAAAAATATAAACTATTAATAAATTACTTATCATTATTATTTTAAGACCTCTTATATACACAGTTGGCTAGTTATTAAAACTATACAGATATGTTTTACTTATAGCGATTTATTCTTAATATTAACATCCTATAATCTGAATTATATAAATTAAATTAAAACCACTCTATTATATTAATATTAATATAAACAAAAACTAAACCTTCTTATAATCTTTATAGGATTTTTCAGTTTTTTCCACTTTTAATAAAATAGCAAATTGGCCTTATTAATAAGTCTAATTTTATTACCATTACTATTTATCTGATTCTATATAGATATATTAAATTTCACTTTAAGTAAATTATTAATATTAAATTTAACAAGTTTTTTGGTAATTAAGTAAATTACATTATTAGATTAGTAAATTTTAAAATAAAATCCATCAATTACATTATTTTTTCTTATTAAACCAATTTACAAATCCTAATAAAAACTAATAATATTAAACCTTCAAATTCAGTTAGTTTATATTTTAATATTTTCAGTTTTTTTAAAAGATAAAATCTAGAAATACTGAAAAAAAAAGAAAATATATAAATACCAAACTTCTATTACCGTTTAAATATTAACTAATAATATAAGAAAAATCCACTTTTCAAGTAATTACTATATAGCATTATATATAATATTTTCTTATAATATTCTTTTAAATAATACTAGAATATTATTTAAATTTATATTTAGGTAGTAATATAACAAAATAGTGTTTCACAAAATTTTAATATTCTGTTCAAGTCCATTTTATTTGTTTCATCCTATCCTGTTTAAAATATTATCCAATTTATTAATATTATATATAAATTATATATCCTCTTATAATGAATTTTTATCACATTTTGTTTAAATTCTGAACTGTTCTATTCTGTAGAATCCTAAATAATATTAATACAATTTACAAATAAACTTTAAATATTGAAGTAAAAATACATTTTATAGCATAATTCTATTAATATTAAAGCTAGAAATATGATTAAAATCCTTTTATCAAGATGAAAATCTAATGATATAAATTTTTTTAAAATTGAATTACTGGTTATGTTAAATACAAAAGTATGTAGAATAAATAAATTTTGAAAATACTTTTATAATACACAATTTTTAAAAAATTTAAATATAAACTCTAAGTAAACTTAAATGTAAGTTGTTATCAATATTATTCATTAGAGTTCTCATCCTATTTCATTTAAGAACATGTTTCAATTTATTTTGATTTATATTATTAGTTATATATTTTATTTGATTTATTTAATTGTAAATCATTATGGTAATTTGAATTTATCAAATTTTATATTTGAAGTTTTTATTTTATATTAAATGAATTACGGCATCCAAATTATAATTATAGTATTCCAAAATAATTTGGGCAGCATGTATAGCCAATTCGCTACTTACTGACACAGGTTGAAAAGTGAAAAATCAGGCATCAATCAGTCACCAATCGGTCACCAATCAGGTAGCTGATTGGTAACTGATTGGTGACTAATTGGCATTTTACCAATCAGGCAGTTTGCTAACTTTTAATCCAGTGATCAGAAAAAAATGAAATATAGCTCATTGGAATCGTCTCAACAAGACGAATCTAATGGTAGTAAAATCACATTTTTAGGATTAATAGTTAATAAAATATTAAATAAAATATAAATAATATATCTTTATTTTTATATTTTACTTAATTTCTCATCAAGTATTAATCCTAAGAATGCGATTTTACTACCATTAGATTCGTCTTGTTGAGACAATTCCAATGAGCTATATTTTATCCTTTTCTGATCACTGAATCAAAAGTTAGCAAACTGCCTGATTGGTGACTGATTGATGCCTGATTTTTCACTTTTTGACTTGTGTGATACAAATAATTGGCAAAACTGAAATGCTACTTTTTTAAATAGTAAAAGTTCATCAGTTTTTAATCAAATTATTCAAAATTTTTACTGAAAATCTTTGAAATTAAAACTTTTTTATCCAAATTATTTAATGTAATTTTATAAGCAAAAAATTTACAAGTAATTTCTAAATATTACCAATTAACCAAATTTTTAGTAAAATCCTGTTAAAATTTTTTGTTTAATAAAAATGTTATTTAGAAGTTTTAAAATTAACTGATATATATTTTCAAATATATATTATTAGATTTTCAAAAAAACTAATTTAAGAAATATGAAATATTAAGCAAATTAGGATGAATAGATTAAAAATTTCTCAAATTTTAAAAAAATTTCAATTTTTTTTATTTTTAATACTAAATAACTTGATGTGATTAAATTTTTAAAACTTGTATAATTAATACAATACTACTTAAATGAGTATTCTAATATACTATATATACAAAATGTTTTATTTTCAGATTATTAAGATAGTATTTTGCTAAGTATAAACATATTATTAAGTAATTGAACAGATTAGCAATTAAATATTAAATCATTAATTATTTAATTTTATTATTACATAATTAGTATTCCTCTTCTAATATACATTCTTTTTATAGTACCTCTCTTTTTCTATAATACTTTTAAAACTTTAAATATTATTTAATCTAAGTAAACTTTCTTAAATAGTATCAAAAAAAACTATATGCAGCACTATACAGTATTATTTTCTTTATAATACTTCTAAAAATAAAGAAATTAATAGAAAAACTTTACATAAATGCAGTATTTAAGGTTTAATTACTACCTAATATATAACTGTTACAATCTTTAAAATAAAATTGATGAAAATTTAAATTAAAAAATTATATATATGTTAATAGAATTTCCTTTTTTGAAATATGGTATAATAAAAAACTAAAAATCATTATTTCTAAAAGAGTACAAAAAATTAAAGAATTTGTTTGTCTAGCATCCGATTCAGTTTTATTTTTTGGTTATTTTCTGATTGATCAGAATCTGTTTTGCACAATAACTCGCCATCCAGTAATTGTAGAAAGCCGATTAATAACTCGTTGGAATCGCCTCATCAAGACGGTTCGAATGGTACTAAAATTATCTTTCTAGCATCAATAGATGGCGAGTTAATTTTGCTAATTTTTCAAAAAATAACTTGCTATCTATCAATTCTAAAAATATGATTTTAGTACCATTTGAACTATCTTGACTATACATGAAACTGAAATTGGTTAATTTTGACCTTCAAAATGGTCGAAATGGTCGAAATGATTTTGACTTGGGCCCCTCCAAAAGTCAAAATGGTTGAAATTAATAGTCATATGATTTTATAGTAAACAATAATATTAAAATTCAAAGTTAACAAACTCCGCATCCAGTGATTTAATATTTATGATCTTTACACGGTTGGATTCAGCTCATTGAGAGGATTCCAATGATATGTATTTCATATTTGTAGCATCAATATCGACGGAGTTATTTACGTTTAAAATTTGGTATTAAATAGTCTTATAATTTTTATAGTTAACAATAATATTAAAATTCAAAGTTAACGAACTCTGCATCTAGTGATTCAATTTTTATGATCTTTACATGGTTGGATTCAGCACATCGAGAGGATTCCAATGATATATATTTCGTATCAGTAGCATCAATATTGACGGAGTTATTCATGTTTAAAATTTTATATTAAATTATAATTATAAAAATCATATGACTATGATGTAATTTTGACTATTTTGACTTGGGCTTTAATTTCGACTTCATATATAGTCTTGACAAAATGATTTTAATGAGCTATTGATCGGCTTTTTATGATCACTGGATAGTGAATTATTGCATAAAATAAATTCTGATTAATCAGAAAAGAACTGAAAAATGGAACTGAACTGAACCATTCAGAGTTTTATCCAAAAGTTTTAATATTTAGACCAATTCCTATAAAATATTAACCAAATATCTGGATTGGTATACCAAATTAACTGGTTTACCAAATATTTTGACAGATAAAATTCATTCCAATTTACTGTATGCAAAAACTATAAAAAAAAAACTGGACATGAACTATAGTAATTATTATTAAAAGCCTGCATTCTTATAAATTTGAAGCTAGAAAATGAAGTATTCTATTTATTTTTTTTTAAATAATGTAAAGAAAAAGAGTTTATTAAATTTAGAATTAATTATTAAATCTGTATTAGAGTATTTTATATACCTAAAATTCTGAAATAGTTTTAAAACAATTGATAATTATAATTTTGCATTACTTTAACCATAAAGTTTATTATATTCTTAATAATAGAAAATATGGAAATTATGAATTATATAGTTTATAGTACTGTAAAAATTAAAAATAGGAATCAACTTTTATAAGATCCAAAATTATTACTTCAAAATAAGTTAAAATATTGTCTTACTTGCAACACTTCAAGCAATAAACTAATTGTAGTATAAAAGCTTTATCATGTACTTTTACATTTGCATTTATTTTATTAATTAATAAAGTATTATAAATATTTTTTTTGCTTATCATTTAATATATAAAAATTATAAAATCCCAATCTCAAAATTTGTATGAATTATATAAAGCTATAGTATGTTGTGTAACTAATCACAAATCAACCTGTGCAATAATAGATTTCTTATATATACTTGATTATAATAGTGATGCCTGCTTAAACTCTTTTTGCAAAAAATTTTGGTTTCGTCACCAATTAGTTTCAGGTTTGTCATTGACTAAACTATATAATAATAATTTTTAATTTTAATTTTAATTATATAAAATTATAGTTTTATTATAAAAATATATAAAATTAATTGTATTTATAATAGTTTTATAAATTCTTTTTAAAAAATATAGGACCCCGGATATCTAATATAAAGGTCATAATGGACTTTTGGCCAAAAACACCCCTTTTTGCTGAAACTCAAAAAATCGTTTTTTGTAAATATCTCAGCATCCAGTAATTCAATTTTAATGAACTTTTTTTTATTTTGTAGCCCTCATTTAGCTCTACAATTTAAAAAAAGTTCATCAAAATTGGACCACTGGATGCCGAGATATTTACAAAAAACGATTTTTTAAGCCCCTGAAAAATGGGCCAATCTGCCGAAAGTGTGACTTATGACCTGTTTTGGAGATATCCGGGGTCCTAAAAATATTATATTTTAATAAAAATTTATTTTTTTAAATAATTATTATAATTAAAAATCCATGGAAATTTATGAAAATCTATAAAAATACCATGGAATATTGAATTTCGGCATTTCGTCTTTTAATTTTAAATGTCTAAACTATTTCAGTTTCATCAAATGACTAAATATTTCAGTTTTGCCTAGCATCTCTACTTGATAATCTTGATATACCCAAAAAAAAAATTTGCCCATTTATACTACTTTTTCATTACCTTTTTAATCACAATAATTATGTCATTTAATATTGCAAGTTTCTCTAATAAAAAACTTAATGGCTATTTAAAAATGAGATCAAATAATATTGATAAGTACATAGATATATTAACAGCTCAAAAAGTTGATGGTTCAGTTTTTTTTGCACTAAAATATAAAATGCTTATAAGCTACCCTTTGAATTTTCCAGTTGGACCAGCTTTAAAATTAATAGAACTGATCAAAGAAATTTAGGAGGGTAAGTAAAATTTATTCTTATTTATATTGTATCATTTATATTTGCCAACAATACCAAATATTTACTTATTCTTATACTTTTTTTTCTACTTTTTATTGTCAAATCTGCTTAAAAAATACATTTATATTATCATAGAGCAACAGATTAAGAAATTAATGCAAAAAAATAATTCTTTAAAAAAAAAACTAGCTCAATTAAAAAAAATTGCCATTACTGGTAAGTGAATCATAATAAATATTCAATATAGTAAATATGTGATATTATTTTAAATATTTACTTCAATTATATCTTATATATTAGAGTTTAGAGAGAATGAAATAGCTTTGAAAAATTTTTGGTAGGCCTTAAAAGATGAAAGTTATATTTATAATGATAAGTTTCTTTTTGTATTTAATAATGGGCATTTTTATAATTTTTTTGGATTAGATAATAAACCTTATAGTTTCTATATTTGTGATTATTACGATTATTTGCTTGATATTGCTTTAAATCATGATGTAAGAAATTTGCATATTACAGGAAATCCTGGTATTAGAAAACCCTTTTTTGGTTATTATTTACTTTATATTCTTATACAAAATAATAAGACGGTTATATATGAGGATTATAATATGAAAAACTGTGTTATTTTATTTAGTCAAAAAAAAGTTTCTTATCTTAATTCAATACTTAACAATAAAGAAATTCAAAGTTATTTATATAAGCGAAGAAATTTGGTATATTGTAGATGGAAAAATATTAAACCATTCTACAGTCAAAACAACTAGATAATACTAATTTGCTCACTATGTAAAAGTCATTATACTGCATTTGATAAATGTAATCCAACTATATAGTTTATACATGTTTAGTCTTGAAAGAAAATTGATGAATATAAAACTAAATTTTTCGATCATCTTTCTAAAAAGAGAGTTTTGGAATTGTACAAAAAGTGGGGAGGGATTCCTTATTACATTTTAGAGAGTGCTAACAATTCAGATATTTTAAATGAGCTTGAAAAAGCAATTGAATTATACAATGTAAATATTACTTAAATATATTGAAGGAAGTGATAGTATAAATATTATTAATTACAAAATAGTCCATATTTATACAAATTTTTCAATTAAGGATTATGCAAGAAATCATAATAGATTTAATGAAAAAAATTGAATATATTGATAAAAGGTACTAAAGATATTTACTAAAACTATTTTTTCAAAATTTTAGTTTAATTAAAATTCAATTTGAAACTAATTTTTATAATAAAATTAATTGCTAAAACTGTTTTTATTCTTTTTTGAAACTAATTAAAATTTTGAAAAGTTTTGAATTTCATTAAAAATAAAGTTTTTGAGTTTTAAATTTTAAATTTTATCATTAAATGAGTTTTGAATAGCAATGTTAAGAGTATCCTATATAAAAATAACTATAAAATTTGCATCAGACTATGTAGGTAAAATGGTGATTATTAATTTAAAAGTAACAATAATAAATGATTTATATAAAAATATTAATGCAGTTTTGAATGGAGGGAAAAGTGAAACTGCAAAATTTTTAGTATAAAAAAAAATAGTATTATTTAAATTTTTTTCTGGTTATTTTTAAAGAGATTGAATAATTTTAATTAATATAACTTGTTTAATTTGAATTATAATATTATAAAAACATATATTATAATATTAAATACTTAGTAATATATTAGTAAAGTCAATTTTTTATTACTTATATATATTATAAAAATTATTTAAAATTTTATTTTAATTAATAAATTTATAAAAAAATGTTTTTACAAATGTTTTTAATTATTTTAACAAAAAAATGTTGCAAAAATATTCTTTATTAAGTGGTTTAATAAAAAAAAAAAAATATTTTTGCACCATTTTTTATTAATTTTAAATTTACTTTACTATTATTATTTAACTTTTTGTTATAAAATTTATGTTTTAAGTAGAATTAAAATGTAAAATCCTAACTGAAATTTTGCTTTAATACTAATATAGTAATAATTATTACTACTAATATTACTATCATTGTAATTATTAAATATTTAATTATTGAAAGTTGTTTTATTTATTTTATTTTTATAAAAAAAAAAGACTGTAAATAACTTGAAACTAATTACAGTGCTAATAATCTTACAACAAAAGACAAAGACTGAGCTAACCTTTTTTTTGCAGACCATGGATGTCGTTCATGTGAAATAACTCAAGAAAATCTTAATGACATGCAATTTGATATTCAAGCAAGATATTGTCATATTATGGATCTTTATTTTCAAGAAATAACATTACCTATATTTTAAAGAAAAAATTTATTGTTACAAATTATATTAAGAGTATTTATTATTTTAAATTTGGATCAATGAATAATAATTCAAGTCTTAAAAATCCAATTTAAATGCAAAATTTCATAACCATCACACTATCTTTGATTAGGATATAGTCAGTTTATTTGTAATAATATCATTTAATTTATTGAATTCAAATTCCAATTTACAGAAAAAAATTTATAAGATCACAAAATATGATCCAAAAAAAGTTTATCAATTCCAGTTTCATGTTATTGTGAAATCTGAAAAGCTAGGTCAAATAGTCTCGAACTTCCGAAGGACTCAACTTTCTAAATAAGGGTCTTTCCTTTCCTTCTGTAAATCCTGTTGCAGTGCCACCAATGATACCAATCTCAATTGAATTTTCAGTCATTTGTCCTTCAAAACCCTCTTTAAGAGTAAGAATTGAAGTATGAACAGCATCTTCAAGTTCAATATCATCATTATATCTGTTTGGAGACAAATGACATTAGTGACAATTTAATAATAATTTATGTAATTTTTGTAAATTAAATTAATTACCGTTTTTCCAGAAACGTTTTGGCATTAATCATATTCTTCCCAATTGCAGATGCCTTCCATGCCCAATATGATCCTGAAGGATCAACTTGATATAATGCTGGACCAGTTTCATCATAACCAGCAATTAAAAGGGAAACACCAAATGGACGAACACCTCTAAAATGTATTATACAACCAATTAATTAAAAAAAATTCAAATCTAATTCCATTTAATATTTTATTAACTTACCCACTCTGAGTGAATTCTTGCATAACACTGGCAACTTCTTTTACTAAAATTCCTGTTGGAGGATATTCATTATATATTCTTTTATATTTTTGTGCTGCCTTTCTTGCTTTAGATAATAAGATCCTAAAATCAGGGCCCATTCCAGAATAAACCATTCCAATATTTGGGCAAACACTTGCAACTTTTTCAAGAGAAGAATCATCGATAAGTGGTGACGCACTTTTCTTCTCGGTTGCGATAACAATACCGTTGGTTGCTAGTGATATAACTTTAATAAGATAAAACGAACATTTTTAAAAAATTAAAAATTGTCCTTTACCTTTGATGCCGATGCTCGTTACACCTTGAGCAACAGCATTTAATGCATATTCAATTTGAACAAGTTTTCCCGACGGTGAAAAAGTCGTTAAAGAGAAACTAACCAGAAAAAAGAAAATTTTATTCTTTAGTTACTAACGATAGTATTTCGAGTATTTATAAATAAAATAAACAAAGTATAAGTATTAAAGAATATGTCACCTATAACGGTCAGTCATTGTAAATGAACCGAAATGCAAAAAAAAATAAATCGCGCTCGTAAGCAGTATGATTACTATGATGCAATCAAAATCAAGGGTGTTTACATTAACCCCTACAATATAATGTCGATTGATTGAGTATTGCCAGTATTGCCCCGGAATAATTACTATATAAATCAATTTTGATCCGATATAGATTTAGAAATTTAGAAAATATTCTTTTGCTTCGTGGCTACTTCTTTTTATCGAAGTTTTTGCTGTATTAGTGCAGCCTTTAGAGTTTGTTCTCTAAATAGTTTTGTTTCATTATTAAAATCAAGAACAATGAGCAACAATAAAAACGCGTCCGAAATACAAGCTGTTGATACAACAGAAAGAATAACGAAACTTAGGACTTTATTTAAGAAAGAAGAATATAACTTAACTGCGTAGTAAGTAAAATTACGCTTCGTTCCTAATGAGTTTAATTCTTCACGTATGTGAACATTGAACATTCTTTTTATTATTTTTTTCTTTTTTTTAGTGTAATTCCTTCGGAAGACGCTCACCAGGTATGAAGTCTTTGTCGTTAACTCAATTTTCACAACGACATATAAGAATTCTAATTATCAAGTTTTTATCTAATATATAGAGCGTTTAAATTTATTTTTAGAGACATTATACAATTTTTAATTAATAATTTTTTATAATTTTATTCAGAGTGAATATACTGCAGCGTGTGATGCTCGGAGAGCGTTTATTTCTGGTTTTACTGGCTCGGCTGGTCTGTTTAAATTTTTTGAACTGAGTTATTAAAAAATGATGAATAATAACTTCTTATTTAACATTTCAATAGGATTGGCAGTTGTTTCAACAGACGATGCTGCTCTTTTTACAGATGGTCGGTATTTTTTGCAAGCCAATAAACAGCTGGATCACAATTGGACATTAATGAAACAGGGCATACCTGATGTCCCAACTTGGCAAGAGTATTTAGTACAGGTAGTTATCAAAGGTTTTCTGTTATTTAATTCAGAAAACAGCGAAAAATAAATAGGTTTGTTATTTATCTACATTAATAGAATCTTCCTAAAGATTCAAGAATTGGAATTGACCCAACGTTGATCACGGCATGTAAGTTTATTTCATTGTTATTGCAAAATAAGTAAGTATTGCAATTAATTTGTGTTATTCATTATTTATATCATCATATTAAAGGCGATGCAAAAACTTTGAAAGAATCACTTGGGAAAGTTGGATCATCTTTAGTCTCTACCGAAGAGAATTTAGTTGATCTGGTATGGGGAAATGCTAGACCACCTCGTCCATGTAACCCAGCAAATGTTTTACCATCGAAATATACTGGTAAATACGCGTTATAACATGAATATAGGGGTTTAAATTTGTTTGTTATACAGGTTCTGTATGCATTTACTTACATTATATTATAAAGGACGTTCACATGACGATAAAATTGCAAATCTTCGAGAAGAACTTTCCAAAGAGAATTATTATGGGTTTGTCGTGTCTGCTCTTGATGAGATTGCATGTTTGTAGATTATTATTATGTTGTTTATTATTTATACATATAAATTTTAACCTTTCTTTTCGAAATAAGGGCTTTTCAATCTACGTGGATCTGATGTCAAATATAACCCCGTTTTCTTTGCTTATGCTCTTATTACTAAAGACGACATTATTCTTTATATTGATGAAAAAAAATTATCCAATGAAGTCAAGGCGCATTTGGGATCCAGTGTCAAGTTTCGCTCTTATAATGCAGTTTTTGAAGATTTAAGGCATTTAAGTGTCAAATTTAAGAGTGATAATCAGGTTTATTAAATTATATTTATATCGGTATTGGTTTATTTATAGAATTCTAAAATATTATAATATTATATTATATTAGAAACTTCTTATCAGTACACGCACGAGTTATGCTTTGACTTTGGCTGCTGGTGAAGTAGGTATTTTTTTTACAGAGTTTATATAAAAAAAATAATTAATTCTTGTGTTTGAATAATAATTATGCGATTGTGATTAAAATATACCAATTTATAGGATAATACAGAATCAGCTCGTTCGCCTATCCTAGATGCGAAAGCAATTAAAAATGAAGTTGAATTAGAGGGTATGAGACAATGTCATTTAAGAGATGCAGCGGCAGTGGTATATATAACTCGAAAAATGTCTATTTTGTTTATTATAAATTTAATTTATTTATTCGTTTATTTATTTATTTAAAGATTAATTATTTTGCATGGCTTGAACAACAACTTTCCGCCGGAAATGTATTGAATGAAATCGATGGAGCAAATCGGTTGGAAAAATTTAGAGGGTATGATTACATAAATACGAATGCACTATATTAGTGATAATATATATACTGATAAAATTTGATAATAGAGAGCAAGAAGATTTTGTTGGATTATCATTCGACACTATTTCTGCATCTGGCCCTAACGGCGCTATTATACATTATTCACCAGAACCAAAAACCTGTGCCGCCATTGATCCCAATTTGCTTTATTTATGCGATTCCGGTGGTCAATACAAGTAATATCAATTATTATTATTATTATTATATTATTTTAACAAAAAAAAAAATAATTTCATATATATTTTGTTAGAAATGGTACTACCGATGTGACGCGTACTATACACTTTGGTAAACCAACTGAACAAGAAAAACGTGCATTTACACGAGTTCTTCAAGGTCATATTGCAATTGATCGTGCGATATTTCCAAAGGGCACTACAGGTAAATCATATTATTATTGTGTACAATTTTTTTTTTTCTTTTTCCTTGTTTTGAAATATTAAATAATTTAGGATATTTGTTGGATGTTCTCGCGAGAACATCGCTCTGGAAAGATGGGTTGGACTTTCGCCACGGTACAGGACACGGTGTTGGATGTTATTTGAATGTACATGAGGGTAAGGATTTTTTAAGTATATAAAACAAATAAATGGCAGGCGTTTATTATGAATTAATTGTTAGGTCCTCACGGAATCGGAACTCGAATTGTATTCAATGACGTGCCACTTCAAGCGGGTATGACGGTGACCAATGAGCCAGGATATTATGAAGATGGTAAATTTGGTGTCCGAATTGAATCTGTTGTACTAGTTAAAGAGGTGGATACACCTCATAATTTTGGTAATAGGGGTTATTTAGGATTTGAACGTATTACCTTTGTGCCTATTCAGACAAAACTTGTTGATGTTTCTCTTTTGGATCCTATTGAACATAAATGGATTAATGATTATAATGCCGAATGTTTTAAGAAAGTATCTCCTTTCTTAAAACCAGATAGTCTTGGATTTCGATGGTTAGAAAGGGAAACGGCTGCATTAAAATAATTTATTTATTATAAACGCAATAATTTTAGTGTACTATTTTAAATTATTTTATCTTATCTATAAGAAATAAATATAATATATGCTATTTTATCTATATCCCAAAAAAAAAGTTTCATTAGCTTTAAATATATTTTATTGATGTTTTTTTTAATTCATGCCCAACACCCATAGAACAATATGAAAAAAATTTAATGCTATGAAAAAAAAATTTTTTTTTTCATTTTACATTATTAAAGTAAACCAAAACAGGATACGGAAAAATATTGTACGCTTCGATCGAAATTAATTGACAACTTTTAACATGTTCATCTTATATTCTGGTAGGAAAATAATCAAACTCACTCACTTCTTGACCCAATTAAGATCAATCAGATGAATCTGATGATGATGAATCTACAAATTTGATGAACCTTATCCGACTTCATCTTATTATTCTGGTTAGAAAATAATCAGGTATCAATCAGATGAGTCTGATGATGACGAATCTGACGAATCTGACGAATCATCTGAATCATCTGAAGAACTATCACTCTCTACTCGTTTACGTTTTTCTGTTGCAATGAGTTTTTGTGCATTCTATATTTATTGAAAAAAGAAAATTTAAGTTTCAGCATTTGAACAGGTCACATGAATTCGTATCATCATCCATTAAATAAATGATCCTTACCACCAAATGCTCTCTTAAACCCTCAGTTAATTGACCTAATTCAATACTTGTAAAAAAGTTGATTGCAAAACGAGTATTCCGTGGATTATCCTTTGGAAAAAGACCGTCGAAATAATGACACATTGCTTCATCATTTAATCTCACTTTAAGTTTCGGTATACCTAAAGTACCAGTGAGTTCTTCAAATAATATTTTAATAAAAATTCGAGAACTTGATGTGGTTGAATCTTCTGTCAATTTAATTACACTAAAAACTTCCCAAGAAATAGCATCTGATGCTATAAGGTGTCCAAAATATTTTGATACGTTTCTTAACCGATTCGTTTCGTATCGATGAATTGTCTCATAATATTGAACAAAACATTTTTCAAAAGATTTAGCCCAAACCAAATTTATTTTTGCAAGACGTTCACCTGTAAGACCAAAAAACTTTTCATAAGTACGTTCTTGAGAACAACATTCAATTATCATGTTGCAAAGTTCCATCTGAATAAATTATAATAAAGAAACCTTAATAAATAAAATAAATAACGAAAGAAAAATAATAATAAATAGATAAAATAAAATAAAATAAAATAAAACCATACCTCTTGTCCTTCTTGAATATTTAATTTCATAAGTTTGTGACAACATTCTTCAAAGTCAAGACTTGACTTAATAGTTAGATATATCGTTTTACGTAAGGTTATCAAGTTTGTATTTGTATTATCATGAATTTCCATTTTCTTTGCTAATTCCTCTTCGCTCTCATTATCTTCATCTTCGTCATCACTATCATCAGTACCTGATTCTCCATCATCATCATCATCAGAATCTTCACCTAATATTTGTGATTTTATTTCCTTGTATTTTTCTTCATTTTCTAAATAATCAGGATCGAAATTGAAGACACCTAAAAACAATGAAAAAATATCCAATTTTAGTATATTAAAAAATTAAAAAAAAAAATTTTAATTAAGAAAAAAATATACATATGTATATATGTTTATACGTACCAAGAGTTTCTTCAACATCTAATTCATCATCAATTGATATATGATGAGTAATTTGATCATCTTCCTTAACCAAATCTAATTCTGATGGAATTGGTGGATTATCCTTATATTTATCCTTTCTTATTTGAAATAAAACTTCAATCATATATTGAACTCTTTTATCTACATTTGCTTCATGAAGAATAGTTCTAAATCGATCAAATACATCATTATTCGCTTTTGGTGAAACCTCAGCCAAGTGAGCACCACATTCACGCATAAACCCGACAGCAACTTCTACTGAATCACTAGTAGGATGCTCAAGTAAAAGAACTAAAATTTGTAATGCGACAATTTCGTGAGCTACTAGATGATTACATAAATGTGCAATAAAAGAAGTAGTAGCTAAACAAGTTGTCTAAAATTCAAATTAATTAATTAATTAGTCAACATCATTATAAAAAATATAAATTTGGTTCAATAATAAAATACCTTATCGTTACGCCTATATGCTTTACGAAATTGAACAATTAACCTAGTGAGAACTAGTTCACCAATTTGTGGTAACTTTGTGTTTATAATAGCTACCGATGCAGAATAAACGGGTGTAAACGGTAGAGAAGCCGATTGTGCTTTCATGATCGATCTAGCAAAAAGACCTCTTCCACGAATTAAATTTTCATTAAACAACTCAAAAACAATATTTTTTATATTTGAAGTATTGACCTGCGATTTAAATAAAGAAATATTACCTAATAGATCTAAAGGAATAAAATAATAAATAAAAAGAATACCTTGTTAATGAGACCATTAATACTCTTTTTTAGAGCTTCCCAAGTAATTCTTTGATATTCTTTACTAGATTTATCGGTTATCGTTTGTTGCATCTCCCGTAATCGAGCGGGTGGAATATATACACCACCCGCTCTAGTATTAACGAGCACTTTCTGTTCAGTCTCTATAAACGACGACATTTTTTTGATCAGAGTTGAAATTTTTTTTTTTAAAAAAAAATAAGCTCAGTTCATTTATTTATTTAAAAATATTAGCTGTTAGTAAATTTATGATCAGTCATTGTTTGAATACAATTTGTACTAGATCTTGTTGATCATTTGATATTACTGAGCCGCAAATGTATCGTTCTTATACGATCAGGTGCTATGTTCTTATACGACGTATATGTCACATAATATAGGTCGTATAAGATAGTATGTCGTACACGTATAAGAACGT